CCCATTAGACCAAGTGGCCAGGAAAGTGCTGTTCAGAGCAGTGTTTTTCACATGGCTGTGAAGGGCAGAGGCATGTCTTCTGCAAAAAGGAAGCACTCACTGTGGAAATTGTCTGATCATAATGCTGCATCCAGACAGTGAATGACAAACAGGTGATAGTAGCAGGTGCTGTGTAGAAGGAGAGTTGAAACAGACACTCTGCTTCTGCTGTGCTTGCATGTACAGCAAGGTACCTGGAAAATGCTTGTTAGAAATAGGCTGAAACCTTAGTTTGCACAGATGAGAGACCTGAAAGTTGGCAAGATAGAGGAGTTTGAGGATGTTGCTGTGATTACCTAAGAATGGGTGTAGAGTCATGTGGAGTGAAAGTGGATAAGACTTCCCTGTCTTTTCAGGGGTAGCTGAGAGAGAGGAGAGCAAAGACTGAGATAGAGAGGAAGAGAGAAAAGTAGTCAGTGGTGTTAAGTGATGGCAGCTTAAAGAATGAGATGCAGAATCAGTTGTAAGGTGCCATTGTGAAAATATCAATGGAAACCCTGAGAAGAGTTTCAGTGGGCTCCATGTGGGAGATGCTGAACAGGAATGAGTTCAGTTCTGGAGTTGCAGCCATAATTCTTGATATCCTTTGACATTTGTGTTAAATATGCTGATAAGCTTGGGAAGGTGTGAGATCAAAGAGTTTTTCTGGTTTTTGGTAAAATGGAGAAGCTGAAATTTGTAATGTAAAAATCTTTGTTTTTAATGTGAGGACAGGAGAATGAGATGTGAGAAAGATTAAAGAAGATGAAAGTGTCAGGGGGAAGCAGAAGAAGCTTGGAGTGCAGATTGTTTTTCATGTAAGAACAGCCATAGTAAATCAGACCAAGGGTTTAGCTAGCTTAACATCCTGCAGCCCAAAATGTCTGTTGGAATATACCTATGGAAAAAGAATAGGATGTATATATGCAATACCTTTCCCTGACATTCCATTGTAATAATTGCACTGTGGGACAGAATGAAATTGTTGATCTACTGTCTAAGAAGGGAGTGACACGGAATCAAGAGATGATTTAAAATCCTACTGTGATGGCAGGCAGATGTCCAGCAATGGAGGTTGCAAAATTGTAGTAGATAGTTAATTAGTTATTTCATTAATAGAAAACACAGCCACTTGTATTTTCTCAGTACAGGAGAAGAAGCAGAAGTGGGCTTTGAGGTGGGTTCAGACAGGCTCTGGCTTGGAAGGGTGGACCAAGTGATGGGAAGATCATGGCAAAAGGAAGCTCTGCATGCCACTGGCAGAACAGTCAGAAACTTGGTGGGAAGCTGTTAATTTGGGTGAATACAGTGACTCTTTTAAGTTTTAAATATTTTACTGATAAAGAATTCAGTAATGAAGAATTTATCTGCATTACAGCAAATAAACTTGGCAAATAGAGCAAATAAGCAAGTATAATCAACTGACTTGAACAATAATGGAGCTCACACAGTAGAGTTGTCTTGGAGTAGATCTTTCATGTAGGTCCTGTACTTGGAAGTAGAATCAAATAGAATAATTAAGTGATTTTTGTCTCAAAATAATGTCCGTATGGCAGGGTTGTTCTGAAAAAGCTACACATAATGAACAGTATACACCAGATTGTAGCAAGTTTCTTGGACAAAAATTCTTAAGGCTTCCATATAACTAAAGTAACAATATATTTTTGATTGATCTATTTTTCCTTTCTTTTAGATAAAGATTTTCTTTTTTAAACTAGTAGGTCTCAGCCATGCTCTCTTCAGTCAGACAAATTGGCAAGTCAAATCATGCTGATACTTTTGATAGAATGAGATAATAGACTTACTTTTGGAAAATCTTTCCTTCTGTATTCCAATGGAAAAAAATAAGCAGCCTTCTTGGAGAGGAAGAACACACTAGTGGCCATATCTGCTTATTTAGGTGGGCAAACTACTTTCTTTTTCTGATGGACAAAGGCAGGTTTAAAATCACCCTGCAGAAAACTGAATGCAGTCTCTTCTGTTTAAATGATACTGCTAAAACAGTGTCTGCAGCTAGTTGGTGGTGATGGGTGATCTTCCATCAGAACCAGACACAGGTGAAAACTTTCATGTGAGCTTTTGAAGTACTTAGCTTAGTCTCCATTGGTGAGTTTTTCAGGTAGAAGTAATACAATGTAGTTTCTCATAAAGTATCAAATAAGCTTTGGAAGCTACAGTATAAGGTAATCCTAGTCATGTTCATCTCTGCAATTTCCCATTTTGACTTTGTCTAATATAGCATTTGTATTTGAACTTCTGCTAATGTCATACATAGAGACTCTATTAATATATGATGTTTGTTAGGTTTGTGGCAATGTCAGTGGATGTAACTTAAGATTTGTTACATATGATAATGCTGAGCTGGAATTCCCTGCCCACCTGAGAAGTGGCATGTGTCAGTGGGCAGCTGGAAATGCACAGGTCCATTAGGTCCTCAGTTCTGCTTCTGCTGTGCATCTCCATGCAAGCTCCTTCCTGTTGGAAATCCTCTTTCCAAGCAATATGGATCATAGCAGTCAGCTGGATCACAGAACATCAGCATCTTTCTAGGATGTTTTTTGTCTCTGCCTCATAGAGATAGCCAGGAGTTTCTGTCCTGTCTAAACTACACATTTATTGTAGTGGGAACAGTGTTGTCAGTGGGCATTATTATCTCTTAAATTGATATATAGGAGAACAATTACATATTTTTTACTAAAATTGGACTCACCTTTTAGTTGGTGATAAAGTGTGAGCAGGTTAGCTTGCAGATAGCTGTTCCAGAAGCCAGAGTGAAGTGAGTGTGTGTGGGTTTTCCCAGGGAAACAATAGGCTCATGTATTCTACCACAATGGAAAATTTTGCAAAGCATTCAAAGGCTGTCCTGTGGGAAGTGGGGTTAGCTGAGAACATGTGTAGTCATTCAGTTCATAGGGATGCACAAAGCAGTGTTAAAAATTATACATTTAATCAGTGTTTCTTCAGACATAGGAGTATCAGCCTTAATGGTTGACAATTGCAGATGATTCAGTTTACAGCACATTGCCTTAAAAAAAATTATGCCCTTTGGGAAGGTAAATATAAGATGCCATCAGTACTTAAATTGGCCAGCTGAAAATTTGTCAGCCTGTTTCATTGAAAGGCTAACATAATTGCTCAAAGTGAACTAGGAGGTTTTAGGACAAGGAGAAGATCTGGGGTCTCTGTGTATGTCTGCAAATTTGCATATGATTTGGGCACATTTAAAGTTCACACCGTTCACACCATGTGAAGGTACAGTGCAGAACTTTCCTGTTCCGCATAGCTTAGGTGAATGATGATGGCACAATCAAATAAAGATTTTTACAATCCTAGTTAAATTAATGAATAAAGACTTAATACTAAGGTTTTGCCTCTAGACTAACATAGCCCATTTTTAAAATAATCCGAGCAGGTGCCCAGCAAAGCAGTAGATGTGATGGCACAGTGAATACTGAATGAGGAAAAGTGTCTTGTTGTGTATATCTAGAAATAAACTTGCTTACCATTCTAAAGGGAATAATACCTGCCAGGCAAATCTAATATCAACTTGCCCTGTGAGAACAGGGGAGAAGCATAATTTTCTTATTGTTCCAAATTGATAATATAATGTCTTTTAACATTCTCAGGGGAATAAAATGTGTGTCTTTAATTCCAGTTGATTTTGCAAGTGTCGGTGCTCGTGGTATTCCTCTTCCAGTTGTACTGAGGCCAAGCTGTATTGGACAGTAGCAAGCCTTTAGTACTGCTTAAGTAACAACTGCTTATCAGAAAGTTTACCTGTGTTTCTCCCTTTTGGCCTTGAGATGTATTTGACTCCCTTTTCCCTGAATTTGTCTACCAGTTCTAACCACAGTGTTCTCTTGAAAAGTAAAAATGAAAGATCTTTTCTTTAGGAATGTGTAATGGCTATCCTTACACAAGCTGTAGTTAATTTACAGGAATGATCTGTCCTGCTTTTTAGTTAAATAATCGAATGAACTACCCAAAGCTTTAAGTAAAAGTAGTAGATCTTTAGAGTTTGCATAGGGAAAGCTTGCTGTAAATAATCTGAATAGTCTGATTCGAGATACACTGGAGTTGAGTGTGATTCTGCTGACTCTCCCTTTGCATGGGTATTGCTTTATTTGTTTTAATGTCAACCCCCCATCATTGCTTGTAAGAGTGCATTTAAAGTGATTGGTTGAGTTTGTGTTCTGAAGTTTCATGCATGTAAGTTTATTAAAGTCCTGTATTTTTAAAAATAAAACCACTTTACTAAGTGTCCAGGGAGAAGAGTTGATTTAATAATTTTAATCTTTTTCCTTAAAAGTTTAGTCTGGACTATATCAGTTTTCTGATATGGGAGCAATTTAAACCTGATGTAGATTTTTTTTAAACTCGCCTTTTATCTGCAGACGTTTACTCATAAGGATCACAGCTCTTAATTTACCTTTCAGTATTTTCACAGTAAAGCCTGCTTCCTTGCTTTGCAGTTTTTATTTTGTAAAAACTTACTTTGTGATTTTTGTGCTGATGATCAGTTACATTCTAATAAGAGGGTTCATGTTGCTCAGTAAGGCCCATGGCATATTATGTAAATGTTCATCTTTGGGTTAGTGATGACTTTCACAAATGGTAGGCACTGTATCATCCAGCTGTGGTACATACCTGGACCTAGTTGTATTTTGTTACCTCTGGGAAGTAATTTTTTCCTTGTAGAGACATCCAACTGAAGAGACTTGAGAAGGTCATAAGAAAAGCCACTGGCACACTAGGATATATTTCCTTTGCATGTTGCTGTGATAATGCTGTGATAATGAGTCAATTCCCCATCCCCATGTGAATTTAAGGCCACTTTTTAAGCAGCAGGTTAGACAACTTTTTTGACGCAGGGGAATACATTTGGGATTGTAATTTAAATATGTTGTATTTGTAAGTGAATGTGGATCCCACTCCTGTTATATCCCTACATAAAAAAAAATTATTTTTCTCTTTGTAGAACTGACAGTGCATCAGCTGACCAAGACAATTTAAAATATTCTTCATCCAGAGATCGGGGCAGTTCTGCCTCCTATGGATTACAACCCTCAAATTCAGCTGTGGTGTCTCGGCAAAGACACGATGATATCAGAGTCCACACTGACATACAGAATGAAGAAAAAGGTACACAGATTGCTGTTTCATGTATGATTGTGAGGGGACATCCAGGGAAAGGCAGTAAACTGAAATGGTGGAGAAGTTTTTGTTTTGTTTTTTTTTTCTCCCCTCGAAAAAGGCATGAGCTGATCTGTCTCATTGCCACAGTATCTCTGCTTTGGGAGATTTGTCAGGGATCAAAGAAATGTTGTGGTTGATGTGAATACTGAGAAAAATATGCAGTTGTGTTAGGAGAAGAATGCAAGAGAAGACTTGATGTGTGAACACATGAAGTACTTTTTTCTGAAGAATAATATTCTGGTCGTGTCTGGTCTTCAGGCTGCAATTTCTTCCTGAATAGTCTCCAGTACTTCTGGTATTGGATTAAGTGGGCTAGTAGATTGATCTGTTGCCTGTTGTAGCTTTACTGCACCAAACTGGAATCTTTCTTTAGTAATTAGATCTATATTTTTATCATTAGTGGCATTTTCTACTTTCATGTACCTCAGTCTGACTTCATATAAATCATGTGATGTGTGATTCATACATTTTTACTGGTTTTGTTTTTGTTGTTTTTACTTTTAGGGTGGAAATACTATCTACTGAAAATAGCTAAACAGTCAGAATCATGTATTTTCTGTTCTTCTGAAAAAATCTATATTCTCATTTTTTCTTTCTGTATTTGCTAAATACAGATATCAAATTGGACGATTTCTTACTTGTGGAGTCACTTTTTGACTGTGTAAATCCTCAGGCAGGTCAGATTGAAAAGAAAAAATTGCACAGAAATAGTCATGTGGGAGTTTTTGTTCAGGAACCTAAAAAGTATTTGAACTCCCCCCACTTGTCTGGCCTGTGACTGACTGTAAATAATTGCTATATTTTTGGGGAAGTTACAGCTGGAAGCAAATTAATTTTTTTGTAGTTAGAGGGTAGTGTTAGTAGGTGGCAGAAGCATGAAGCATGTTTATCTGCATAGTTTAAGAACCTTAAGTTTTTTTTTACTTCAGTAGAGAAACTGCATGTGAAGTGAGTGTTTTTGTCTGTCTGCTAATGTAGAATGTTGTACTGTGTTTAACACAGACTGGCATAGGAGGCTGTTCTTATAATTTGAAGGGTGCTAGTATTTAAAGAATGTACTGCCAGTTCAGTGAAATAGTAAGTTTTGGACAAATTCAGAAAGGTAATTTGTGAAGTTGCTGGGAAAGTGTTATTTGAGAAGAAAAATGTACCTGGCTTTCCCTTCAGTATTGTATCTTGCAGGGCATGTCTCTGCTAGCTCAGCACTTCATGCTGTTTTGTTCAGGTGTGACTTGAAAAAAGGTGATTAGGATATTCTATCTATAAAACCAAGTTCCAGGTATCTCTAGTTCATTTTTGTTACTGAAGAAATTTGTAGGCTTACAGATGCAGAATAGTTTCTTTGTTTACTAAGATTTTTCAATTAGTCTGTTGGAGTCTGCCAGCATGGCATTTTCATTTGAGAATTTCTGTTCTGGCTTCCACATACCCCCTACCCATCTCCCCCCATTTCTGGTGTTGATAATAAAAAATAGGTACAAATTGATAACTTCTGGAAGTTTTTCAGGTTTGAAAACCTCCAAGAATGTGACTCTTATGTTCAGACTCAAATGCATTAATTCCTCTTAGAAGTTACTTCCTTCATAGGACAGTGTAGGTTTGTTCTGACAAAATAACATGAAGGTGACACGCTTGCTAGTTTATGTTTAAAAACTGAGCTGTAAAAAATAATGTTGTAAATCTAAATAGACACAAACTATCTTTACTGTAATTGTGGTTAACCAATTACAAGTGAGACTTTGCACAGGATTTTCTGTAATGGTAAGGTAGCCCCATCTGTATAGGAATGCACAGAAATGTATGCTGGTGATTAGTATCTGCTTTTTATCGAAAGCTTTGCCTTATAGAAGCGTTCTTTACATCTCCTAAGGTCCAGGTTCACCTCAATGTTTGAACTTACTTTTATCAATCCTTTAGTCTCAATAGGCAGACTCATATGGGGATCCACCTCTCCTTTTCCCCAGACAGTCTTTTATACATTGAGGCAGGTAGACTTGTGGAAATACCTTTTCTGAAAGAAATCTTGCAAATTTTTTGTTCTGGGCTCAATTTTATTAATTGATTCTTCCCTGTCTTGGACAGGGAAGGCACTTGAGAGATCCTCCTTGGAAGTGAGCTCTAATACATTGAATGACAGATTGAACAGGCTCAGGGGAGAATTTTCACTTTTCTACAGTATTGAGGGGAAGAACCTGCCTCTCAAAATGGTGTGGCAGGCTGGAAAAGTTCCAGTCTCAACATTTGAGTATGTTTATTCTTATGGATCTAGGAGTAAGATCAATTGAATTACTCAAAATGATGCTTTTATTTTCACGGTTACTAAAGATGTATCTTAAGTGGGAGAATGTAGGATTGAGATTAATTAAGGATGATACCAGTATTAGTGAAAATGTTGACCTTTTTATGTTTAAGGAGAGTTGTTCAATCTGTGCAAACAGATAATATTTGTGATTTCAAAAACTTTATTTTCTTGGCCATTTTACTTAGCCTGTGTGTTGAATTCATAGCAAAACCAGAATGGATATTTCATTTGTATAAAGGAGCAGGTAAGTAAAAGTAGTCATGTGTACTAGCAGTTTGACCTTGTATTTTACGAAGCCCTTCATGTCAAAGTAATAATAAGAAAACATTAAATGCAACAAAATTGATATTAAACTTCATGTCAATAGTGGTTTTTTTCATGTACTTCAAAAAAGGACAGATGAGGTTCTAAATCTGTGACCTGGAAACTTACAGGATATAACAAAACATTGATGCATGTGGAAGTGAAAAAAGGAAGCTAATTTGCTTATGAATTGAGTAATTCACAACTCACCACCTTGCTGAATATGTGGCCTGAGAGCCTCTTTTAATGTCACGTTGGTCTGTCCACAGGTGGCTACAGTGTCAATGGAGGATCTGGGGAAAATACTTATGGTCGGAAGTCGTTGGGGCAAGAGCTGAGAGTTAACAATGTGACCAATCCTGATTTTACCAGTGTTCCGCATGGGAATCGTGCTTTAGCCACAAAAGACATGAGGAAATCACAGGGTAAGGACATCGCTGATTTTTGGGAAGAGGATATCTCTTCTGGCAACATTTCTTGTGTTCAGAATATGAAGAGAAGTTCACTATGGTTAGGCAGTCTGTATGGATTTTTTTTTGTGATATGTGATTAGATGGTGTTGATGAAAACTTGTTTTATCATCTTGTTTTACTGTTCCTTGTGCTGATACTTCCTCCATAGGTTTGGCAGATGTCTCAGCTACCTGGCTTAGGCTGTCAATCTTTCTATTTCCTTTAGATGGCTTTTGAACCCTTACTTAGGTTAGCCAGATTTGGCAAAGACATCTCTAAGAAGGAGAACTTGTTTTGGTTTTGTTGCAAATTGATGCCTGAATAAAAAGTTGGTAATCAATGAGCCCCAGTGTGGGAAGAGCAGCAGTGGTTGGGAGCAGCTCAGCTGTTCCCTGTTCTCCCTGGGCTGCAGGACAAGCAGTGATCACCTCCTGCCAGCTCAGTCACCCTGTGTGTCCTCCCGAGCTTGCCACTGCTTGTGCTCCCTCTTGCTCAGCTGGGGAATAGAGGCCAGGGAGGAGCTGGAAGCATCCTAAGAATGTGGGCAAGGTCTTGGGAGATGCAGCAAGAACAAATTTGGAGTTTCAAGAGGGTGCAGGAATGCTGGGCTTGTGTTTTTGAGGAAGAAGGCTTCACTCTTCTCACTATTTGAGGTTTGAGTCACAGTTTAAAAAAAAGAAAAGAAGTTATTCCAAGCATTTTTGAATGAAAATAGAAACGTTATGACTAAGCACTGTCACTTATTGCATCACTTAGTATAAGTAGTAGTTGAGCCACTGGTGAAAACTGCCTGCTTTATGCCAGGCACATTACAAACATGAGGACAGACTGTTTCTTCTCAAGGATTAATATTTCAGGGGAGTAAAAAGAATGTTCAGTGTGCTTTGCAGGTGGAAGAACTGAGGTGTAAGTGGTGACATGACTGTTTCGAAAATGGGATTTTAGGAGTGGGTTAAACTCAAGACTTTATAATCACATTCTGGTGTCTTAATATAAAATTATGTAGCCCTTTTTGTGTCTTTCTATGTAGAGGAAATAGAAAACTCTTCCAGTAAAAAAACTTTCTGCCAGTACTAAATAATAGTTAATTCAGACTGTTCTCCTGGTTATGTGACCATCTTTTTAATCCTTAAAAGGTTAGGATATATAATTTTGGATGATTGAAGTTGCTCCCTATGACTTGTATGTTTTCTCTCCTTGAGATGTCAAATTTCAAGAGAGTTTTCTTTTGAACTTGGCTGTCTTCATTGTTGTAGGTTTTAGCAAGTCATTTTGGTTTTTCATGTATCTTCTTTAAAATACACTGGGATAATGTTACAACAAGATTTTGGGTTTTAAGTTCTTTGATGTGTTCTTGTTAGTATATTCATTAAACAGTTTTAAAAATAGTCTTCTGTGAGTTAGCATGTGGCTGAGACCTTGGTGAATTTTCACTAAGTGGATGTCGCAGGTATTTGTTAACTAGTGCTTTGATTAGTGTAGCTTCAGTCATGTTGCTGGTTAGTGTTTTTTGGTTCTGTTTTTTGCTTAAAGTTATAATTGTGACTTGACAATTAGCTGACACTTGGGGAGTAATGCCAATGTAGATTAGCTATTAACTGAATAAAGACAAAGCTGCTTTAGTCACATCAGATGACTGATGTCTAGCAGAGTAGAGCAAAAAGCTGTCTGTACCAGTCTTGGATTTTCTCACTGAAGTAACGTTGACTAAGAAAGCCTCACCATGTTCCATGAATCCTCTTGATTTGAACCACCATGAAACATTTAAAATTAAATTTATTGAAAGAAATTTTGCTTAGTTTTTGCAAACAAGGGAAATTAATTATTTATATGAATTCAAAGGCAATTGGTCCCTAAAGCAGGTAAACTGCATTGTGACTTTGTCTGGTATTGAGTGCTATTGGCCAGGTTTAATGAGGTGTTTTCTTAGGAAGGTGTTCATTCTCCCCCATTATGATCTGCTAAGTGAACAGCCAGGTCCCTCTTCACACTGGGAGCTTTTTGTTCCTCAATAAAAAGAGCAGATCTATTTTCATTTTCAAAGCAGAACCCTGCTACCTATCAGAGAGAAAATACTGTTTCTTTGTAGTTGATTGAACTTGAGTCTGCTTCACTGCTTCAGGAAGCAGCTTGTTTTTTCCACGAGGTTTTCTTGAAATATAATTTTTTGAATTATTTTTGTTTATTCAGTCAGAAGTCTGATTTAATTTTACCTCATGCTTTTTTAGTTCTCTTTGTAGAAGGGAACTAAGTCCAGGTTTTTGTGTAAAGTAGGATGGTTCTGCTTAGTTCTGAATGAGTTCAACACAGGTATTGTACTGTCCACATGAAGAAATTAAATATTTTGGTAGCTAAACTAGATTTTACATTTAACTTCCTTTTTATGAAAGTTTAAAACCTATCAGGATTTATTTTTAATTGTTTTCTCAAATTACTATTATGAGTTACTGATTCCACTCATACACATTGGACAATACAGTACTGTTGATTAATGCTGTAGGAAAAAAGAAATAATTGCTTTTTTCAGAGCGACCGTTGTCTTATTCTGACGAGTCTCGACTGTCAAATCTTCTTCGGAGGATTACTCGGGAAGACGACAGAGACCGAAGACTGGCTACTGTAAAGCAACTGAAAGAATTCATTCAGCAACCAGAAAACAAACTGGTCAGTATAGCATTGGCTATTTCTTCTCTTATAAAACTGTTTTTTTCAAATCTGAGTATTGGGGTATGTCTGCAAGGATTATCTTGTGTGCAAAGCATTTCTTTCCACAAGAAAGAAGAGTGTATTCCTGTCTTGTTTCCGTAATTCAGGAAATGTTTTACTAGGATGCATTGCCCTAAGCTGAACTGAATGCTTGAACTGCAGGAATTAACATGGCATGCTTGTGGCTTTCTTTGATTGCTCTTAGTAATAGCTTCTGGATCCCTCAGAAAAGAAGCAGAGGGAAAGAGAAGTGTTCTCTTGTTCAAAAACTGTTTCTGTATTTTTAATTAAAAATACATGGGTGTTTAGTCTTGTGAACAGCTCATCTTAGAGCCACTCAGCTTTCTAATGAAACAGCTCTGTTTGTGGATTTCCATTCCATGGAAAGAGAGCTAAGTAAATCTTTGTTTTCATTACATCTTTAGGGTTTTTGGTGGGTTGCTGAAGTCTCTAATGTCAAGTGTTTTTTAGGGATATGAGGGAACGGAAGTATCCCACTGTGGGTATAAATTTTTAATATTATGTATTTCAAAATGAAACATTAAAGAGCATATTGTCTGGCACATCTCCCCTGCTGTTTTGGAAAGCTTAGGAGTTCTCCAAGTACTGAAAAAGCAGGAAGTGATGGTTTAATATCCTGCCACTCATTTGCAAGCCACACTCTGATACTTTAGCTGCGGGATCTATGTCTGTCCTTATTTATAAGAAATTGGTTTATTTTCTCATTGTATGCTAATTGACCAGTGATAACTGTGCTCTTTTCCAAAGGACATGAGACTTGAATATGGCCAGTGTTCTAGTCTGTGCACCTAGGTGTAAGCAGCCTCTATGCAAGTCTTGATAACACTTCATCTTTCCTCTTGTTATTACAAGGGTTTAGGAAGAAATGCTTTGCACAATTATTCTGTGGTTATTTTTTTAGTTACTTCCATTATTCTCCTTAAGGTTTTCCCCATTGTTACTGCATTTTATTTGGGTTTATTGGTATCTCAGAATATACTGAAATTGCCATTCTAATGTCTAACTCAGTGATGACAAACTTTGTTAGCGGCCAGGATATTAAAAGGCTGTCACTGAGAAATTTTTGGTTAAGCTTCTCTGAGCTCACTAATGAGAATAAGTGTCAAGTGATATCAAGGCCAAAGCTTCATAATGGACAGAGTTTAACCTAGCAGTAGTTCCTGCAGGTCTTTACACTACTTAGTGTAGTTTAACTGAGTTCCTTTTATCTTCAGGGTTGAAATATTAGTTCAAAGTAAAGTAGTAGAAGTCAGTCACTTATTTAATGGGGTCCTGCTTTAGCTTCTAAATCATATAGATGCCTTTTCCTTTTTAGCCTGTCTTGCAGGTGCCAGAAACACTTTCAAAATGCCCTTGTGAGTTCTGAGGGATCAAGCATGTGGATCTCTGTCCCTCCACTCTCAAAAGCATAATGTTGCTCAAAACTTTAAACAAAAATTGGGTACCATCCACTGTGTTAAAGAGGAATGTCTTTCTGAAGAAAAGAGAATAAACCTTTTTATTAATTTGTCAAGAAAACTTCCTGTTATGTTATGCAGTTGCAGCTAATGTGTGGTTTTTCCAATGTGCATATTAGGATAGCAAGTCTTTCTGGTTATGTTTACTGAGGAGCACTGGTTCACCAATAATGCTTCATCCCCAAAATTGTATTCCATTTCACTGAAATTAAGGATTGCCTAAGTAGAAACTTCAGTACTTCAGATTATATTATGTTTTCCATTAAAATTTCCAATGATACAATTGATTTGTTAGTATTAGAGATTTGGTCTTCAGTAGATGTTGCACACGAGCTGTGTGATGAGTCTTCCATGGTGATGTAATGTTATCAGCAAGAACTAAACTTGGAACAGACCTTGATAGCAGGCTGCCAGTATTTTCATGGCTACTGTAAATAAATATCAAATATAACATCTAGGATAACATTGCAGTGTTGCTTAATATAGTTCATGCTAGTCTGCAGTGGCCATGGCAAGCACAATGGCATTCTCTTGGCAAGGAGAACTGGCAGTGTTGTCTTTAATGAGAGTGTAAACAGGACCTGTAGTGAAGGCAGTATTGGGCAATTACTTGCTTATGCCTTTTATGTATCTTCTATTGCAGGTACTTGTTAAACAACTGGATAATATCCTGACTGCCATTCATGATGTGCTCAATGAAAGGTAAGCCGGAAAAATACTCTGAAGGGGAAAATAATGACAGTGTTATGTTTGAAATACAGAGGGGAAAGGTTGAGAGAAATTAATTTGTCAGTTTTGCATGGGTGTCCCATTGCAGGAACAGAATGAAATTAGGGGAGAGTAAAGACCCTTAGGCATATCAACAATACTGTTGGGCTATCTAGAGTACACCAAGGAGTACACCTCCCTTGGACAGAATGTGAAGGCACAAGTGTGGCTTTGATGCTGTAGCTAGTGTGGTGTCTCAGGTGTGTTCAGTCAGCTGGTGGAGCTGTGCGCTGCACTGGGGGTGTAGCTTCCAAAATGAAATAAATTATTCCACAAGCTGTCTCATTTACATCCAATTAGGAGTGTATGAAGAGGATGCTGTGAGGTTTGTGTGGGCTTTTAGGTGCTTTGGTCAGTGTTGTTTCCCAGAGTCAGCTGCATATTAAGAACTATTTCCATTGGCTAATGTATTGCAAGTAGAACAGCACGTTTGCATACTTTTATTCAAGTTGACTTACTCCATATAAATAATATTTCTTAGAATTTTGCTTTAGCCTTGCCACTGCTGCCAATAAGTAGGAGAGAAGCAGCTTCATTTCTGCATATATTTTATTTTGCTCTAGAAAATGCTTTATTTTGTTCATGCTTCTGTTCTGCTGTCATGGCTGGAGATCCCAAGTTTCTTTTTTTTCTCTCCAAAAATACAGTAGCAAATTGCTTCAGGAATTGAGACAGGAAGGAGCTTGCTGTCTTGGCCTTCTTTGTGCTTCTCTGAGCTACGAGGCTGAGAAGATCTTTAAATGGATTTTTAGCAAATTCAGTTCATCCACAAAAGATGAAGTTAAACTTCTTTATTTGTGTGCAACCTACAAAGCACTAGAGACTGTAGGAGAAAAGAAAGCATTTTCATCTTTAATGCAGGTAAGATTACAAGTTAAAATGTGATTATTAATGATTTTCTCAGTGCAATGCTTGAATGAACTTTTTAAACTGGAATGAACAGTAAGTAATGCTTATTATTGACATAATAAGTAAATATCATTATGACTGGGAGGAAACTTTCTAACTGAATGTGATTCTTTGATTCTGGTTACATTATGAAAGAATGACAAGTCTTTGGAGGATGATACATATTTTGATGCTACTTACTAGTATTTATGGCAGATCCAAGAAGAAAAATCTTGATGAGACCAAAAAGAGAGCTGAAGTGGAATGGTACACAGAACCCAGCATTTTAATTGTTTTGTGCTACCTCCTATTTACAGTTTCTCACTGGAATTGTGGATAAATCTGAGAAAGGAGTAGGATGTGTGCAGAGAAGATGAAGTCCCCATGTTCAGATTCTAGGGTTTATTTGGGTGTAGAACAGCTATGGCCAGGTCTGTGCTCCAATTTAATAGTTATTTTACAGAGCCAAAAAGCTTCGTAGGAGAAATGGGACTTAAAACAACTCACAGCTATTCTGTGACTGAAGAGCTAAAGTAAAGTGTTCCCTGGCTCTGCCAATATCAAGCAAATGCCCCCTTGAAGTGATAATTTTCATTCAGTGAATGTGATGCTTTTTACATTTTGTTCCTGCAGAAGAAGTAGAGTTCTGTTGATTGAATCAAAGTAGTTTGTTACAATGTGTTCTCTCTCCCGTTTTAATGAAGTGAAATGTCTGGTGGCTTTGCTTTACTTTTCAGCTTGTAATGACCAGCCTGCAGTCCATCCTAGAAAATGTTGATACACCAGAATTACTGTGCAAGTGTGTCAAGTGCATCCTTTTGGTGTCTCGATGCTACCCACACATTTTCAGCACCAATTTTAGGGTAAGCTTTCTTTGTGTTTTGCATTTTCTTTCTACAGTAGAAATGTTGGTGCAGCAAACTGAGTAATGAGTCTGTTTTCACAATTGCTTTCCAGGACACAGTGGACATACTGGTTGGGTGGCACATAGATCACACTCAGAAACCTTCTTTGACACAACAGGTCTCTGGTAAGTTTGTTCAGAGGAGCTGATGGAGAGTCTCAGAGCCTGCTCTGGCTTGCAGATGTCAGGGGTTTACTTACACCAGTCTGGTTCTACTGATGTGGAAGTTGACATAAAACCAAATTGAATTTCTGGCTACATAGCAAGATTCTTTGTTCCTAACTTTTTTAGCAAGTGTCCATTTGCCATTTTATGCTAAGTCTGGAAAAATGGGGTGCTTTATTCAGGGTACATTTAAACACCAATTGTTTTATGCAATATTATAACAATCTTTAATAAATGTATGGATCTTAGGATATCCTGTGTGAAAGGATACATTTTTTCCTAAGTACTTTTAGAAAATCTTTGTGGTACAGATACTGTACTGGCATTTGAAAAATGGGGAAGTTTTTCCAATAGCTTTATCAGTTTACTTGGGAGTTATTCACAGCAAATTTATTATGTTTCTTGTGTCATAGTCCTAGATTCTGTCCTTGCTGTTTAACTACTGTGGGGCAGAACTGAACCTTAAAATGATTTTTGCAAAAGGACAGAAGAGGGAGATACAATTTAGTTTAAAAACATCCAGTGTTAGTATTTTCATGTAGATGACCTCTTAGCTCAGCAACTTTTCCCTCAGCAATATGCAACTAAAATTTAATGATTATATGTCACCCTATATTAATTGGTTTGGTATTTTTATACAGGATGGCTGCAGAGCTTGGAGCCCTTTTGGGTGGCTGATCTAACTTTTTCTACCACACTTTTGGGTCAGTTTTTGGAAGATATGGAAGCTTATGCTGAGGTAAACAAGACTTTATGGTGTATACCAGAGTTAACTGTTATGGTATTCTTAATAAATCCACAGCTATGATTTTTATCTCAGATTTTTATATTATTACTTCTGTAGAAAATTAAATTACATGGGTTTCCTGGTGAAAATAGGACCAAATTATGGACTATACTTCAGTCATGTACAATGACCAGCTGCACAAATACTCATAAACTATTTAATTAGTATCACAACCAGGCCTTTAGCCATTGTCGATCGAGAATATTGTGTTGTAATAAAACTACAAACAATTGAGCAAACAGGAATGCTTTTATTTTTGAAGAGCTGATGTGAAGACAACTCATGGTCTTTCCTTGGTGTTTTCTTTAATTGTCCAACCTCAGAGTGTTTCAGAACTAGTAATTGTTGGGAAGAGAGGAAATCTTAATGCTTCAAAAGATTAATGACAAATCTGTCTTTATATGGTGCAGGAAATCATGCAGCAGAAACTGATGGAAAACTAGATTACATTAATTTAATGTACTTAATTTTGACTTTGTACCCTTTGCTTAGTTAACAGGGCATGAAGTTTATCTGATGCTGTCATTGAAGGAAAAGCTTTGGCATTGGCGGGGGGAGTGCTGTCTTTTAAGGTGTATGTGCTCATATGAATACATACTTATAGGCAGTTTATACTATATTGTATATGTGAATATGCAGGTCCTGTAGGTAAAATTGTACCTGGAGGACAATTAGTTTCACTCAGAGCAGAATCAATAATTTGGCCAGTGTCCTTCTCTGTTACCAGGGCCTTTGCTGGGGCAGCTTTAGGATTCCCAGGGCAGAGCAGTAAATCACTGCTTATCAAGCTGGCTGCTGCTCTGGTCAATGTGTGTATTCTTAGTCACGGAAGAGTTTTAAGATAACGTGTGCTAACATGGAGGAGGTGCTTCCAGCCAGTGTGTTTATCTCACAGTGGGGTAGACCAAGGCTGCAGCTCTACTAATGAGATCAGCACTTCTGGGAATGTTCCCAGGCACTGGTGCCAGCTGGCATGGAGTAGTCTCTTAGTGAACTCTTGGTCTCCAGATCAACATAGTTTGTGTGTGTGGTGGGAATGGCCAGTCAAACAACTCTAGTTTGGGGATGAGAATTTTTTGGAAGAGTGGTAAAAGTGTGCAGACAACTGTTGTAACAGTGCAGCAATACAGATGATCATGTTCCAGAGACCAGGAACTTCATAAGCCTCAAGTTTAATTTACAAGATACAGTCTGAGTACTTGTTTTAGTGGCTAAACTCATTGCTACTCTAACTTCTCATTGTCTTTGTGTGCCTATATCCCACCTTCGTATGTGTGTGTAGTTAAGAGGTATTGGATAAATACATCTGTAATTGGATTGCATAGTTTAATGTCTGGAAAAGAGGTAAGTATTTGCAATCTCCTATTTTGATATGTTACCCATGTGTAAGTTAATGATGTGTGCTGATACATAAACCTTGTGTGCTGCAGGATCTCAGCCACGTGGCTTCTGGGGAATCGGTAGATGAGGACATTCCTCCTCCCTCGGTGTCGCTGCCCAAACTGGCTGCACTTCTGCGGGTGTTCAGCACTGTGGTGAGGAGCATTGGGGAGCGCTTCAGCCCCATCAGAGGACCACCAATTACAGAAGCTTATGTAACTGATGTAAGGACTCAATTTGCTTTGGTTTCCTTTGTTGCTCACCTGTTTTGTCAACATATAGCAATGCCATTGAGTGAGTTTATTTAGGTTTTACGATCGTTACATGAATATGTATATTCTCAGTTTTGAGGAAGTATGTTTTTTCCAAGAAATATGCTACAATAATTTTATTAAAGTATGGATCATGATAGTGGCATATGGGAGTCATATCAGAAACTAACCTTTTTAGGCATTTCATGTGGCTGGGTTTGCTGGTTATCTTTGAAACCATGCTACTGTTTATTCAGATAATTATGTCACTGTAGAAACTTGAACTGTAGTTAGGAGTTTGATTTTATAAAATGTGATGGTTTTTATTCCTGGTGAAATTGTATCTATTATATCTGATAGCAAACTTCTCTAGCTCTATAGTATAGGATGGTGTAAACTCAGAATAAATATTATTATATAATATGTTAAGTAGTTGCTATAGTTCTGTAATGGGTGAGGAGATAAGATAAAAATTCCTGCAGTTAAAGTCTTGTGGTTACTGGATGACCAGCACAGCTGAAATTTATGCCCTTGCAGAATTTTGTGAGGGACACAGCTTCTTGGGTAAATAAGTGTATGGATTTCCCAGTTGAAGACAAGACAGTTATGTGACTTCTGCCTTAATCTGCAGAGGATTTTTGTGTTGAAAGCTCAAGAAAACTCCTCTGTCTTTTGCAAGGGGAGTTTTGTTGATGTTAGTTGGAATTGAACAGAACTATCAATAATGAATGTAAGTTTTGTAGGTCTCTAACTAAATTCTCTAACTGAATTGGAAACCAAGCAGTTGAAAGCTTGTTTTTTCTTACACTCCTGAAGTGTAATTCCGGGATGACATTATTCAGAATAGAATTGACCAAGCTGCAGAGTAGGTGATGGGACAGGATGTGAAATGGGTGGAGTACAATTAAATACCATTTCTTTTTAATGGAGTTTAACTCTGCTGTGTTTTTAATTTTGCAGGTTCTGTACAGAGTAATGAGATGTGTGACTGCAGCAAACCAAGTTTTCTTCTCCGAAGCTGTGCTTACAGCTGCCAATGAGTGTGTTGGGGTTTTGCTTGGCAGCCTGGATCCCAGTATGACCATACACTGTGACATGGTCATCACCTATGGATTAGATCAAATGGAAAATTGTCAGACCTGTGGCACTGACTACGTCATTTCAGTCCTGAATCTGTTGACGCTGGTTTGTACATGTTTTTGTTGTTGTGGGGGACTAGAAAAACAGTATTTTGATTAATCTTTAATAATTAGTTAAAAATTCAGGTAAAGTTACTTTTGTTTTTATCCCCAGATTGTTGAACAAATAAATACAAAGCTACCATCATCATTTGTAGAGAAATTATTTATACCAGAGTCTAAACTACTTGTTCTTCGTTATCATAAGGAGAAAGAGGTAAGAGTAACTTTCACAGGTGTATTCCAACAGCTTTCATGCACTTCCTAGAATATATTAAGCTGTAAACACAGCTCATCTTAAATGTGTTTTAGTCTAACTGAATATCTGAAACTTCTGAAAAGGCAGATATAGCTACTTCTTGGTTTTAGCATTTAAATTTGATAAGAAATAGGTAAGTTTGCCAGTATTCCAGTTAGAGAAGTCCTTAGTTCATCTGTCTTTGATACTCAGTCTATTAGGTGGATGATCAAGAAAATGATTAATAGATTCTGTAAGTAAGATGTACAGGAAATTGAAAATAGGTATGTGTATCAGACCAAGCTGTTCATAGATAAAGAAGAGTGATTTTAAATTCTGTGTTGCTGATTAGTATATTTTATGATTTGTTCTAATCAGTTATTGCTGTAATTATGTTCTCAAGGTTGTTGCAGCAGCCCTTGCTGTATACCAAGCTGTATTGAGCCTGAAGAACATTCCTGTTCTGGAGACTGCTTACAGGTTGATTCTAGGAGAAATGACCTGTGCTTTAAATAGTCTTCTCCATAGTTTACATCTTCCTGAGGCCTGTTCCGAAATCCAGCATGACTCTTTCAAGAAGCTTATATCCAATGTGGATAATGCCAAGTTTGTTGTTATATTTGACCTCAGTGCTCTAAGTACTATCGGAAATGCTAAAAACTCATTAATTGGGGTGAGTAAAAACTCAACAGGTAGTTCATGCAGTAAGTGTAAAAAATACTTAATTAATGTATTACATTAGTAGGACACTTATGTATAACTAAAATGATCATATTTGTCTCCAAACTTCCTAAGTTTTAGAAAAACTTTTAGTATTAAAACTTAGGGGAAACAGTGAGTGGATTGTATCTCTGGTTGGTGCATAATGAAGAGCAGTTGCAAGGGAAGAGCATCTTATCAGGTTTATTAAGGATTTAATGCTAAGATGATAATAGTAATTGCTTTTGAAACTCAAGACAGATAAAAGCTGTAGTGTGCCCTTTAGTAGCATATCAGCCATATGAAAACACTTCCCAAATCTTTCCCTATAGAAACATAAACTACTTTTAACAGACTTCTAAAAAACGGGAAAGAAAACAGTCAGTATATAAAAGAGTTAAATTACTTCCTGTGGGGAAAAAGGAAAAGACATTAATTAATATGGTGTGAAAATTACAGTTAATTAAAGATCCTACTTTTTATGTTTCTGTGCTTGTGTTGCAATTGTGTTATAGATGTGGGCCCTTTCACCGACTGTGTTTGCACTGCTGAGTAAAAACCTGATGATTGTTCATGGTGACATAGCAGTTCACTTCCCTGCTGTCCAGTATGCAGTGCTCTACACATTGTACTCACACTGCTCCAGGTATGTGCTTTCATCATTCAGCAGTATTTGTAGAGCACTAAGATGGACTGATCTGAATGGAATATATTGTTGGAGGGATGAAATTAAATAGTTGTTTGTTGTTACAATCTAGCTTTTTCCCAAGCTTCTTTAATTAGTTTTTACATTCATTAATTGCAGGGAAGCTGTATCTCAGCCAGGAAAGCATATCCTGGCTTAAAGTTGGCCTTTTATTCAAAGGCAGATTAGAAATCTTGTGTTTGAATAGAGAGAACCGAGGGAGAACTCTACTGAAAGTAAATGAAGAAAGATTATTTACTATTTTACTTACTGAGAGATCTAGGAGAGGTAATGAGATGTAAACAACAGATGTAAATACATTCTAGACCTTATTAATACAAGCTGTCGTTAAAGTAAGGGAATATACCAGTTTAACTGTTACTCTTTACATTCTTAGCTGTAGTGATTTTTCACTAAGCATTGGATACCAGACACAGTTGAGAAAAGGTTACTGGCCTGCATGGGCTTATGGCAAGTGATAGCTTTGTTCTTTTAGGCTAGAGATCAAAATATTTGGATTTTGACATAGAGTGGTTTGTGTTCATTTAACTTTTGCTGCTGATTGTTGATGTTTTCTCTCCTGTAAAGTTTAGGGAAGTGCCTCTAATCTTGGGGTGGAGTTACAGTTTGTTTTTTCCTTGCCTTTTCAGGCATGACCATTTCATATCCAGTAGCCTCAGTTCTTCCTCTCCTTCTCTGTTTGATGGAGCAGTTATAAGTACTGTAACTACAGCAACAAAAAAACATTTCTCAATCATACTGAACCTTTTGGGGCTACTGCTTAAGAAGGATAACCTTACTCAAGATACCAGGTAAAGAAAATTTTCTTAGAAATTGGCAATTTTTTCCTTTTTTTTGTCTAGTAGAGTACATTAATTCAGAAATGAGGATAATTTGAATTTGTAAAATTTGGGGTAAATTTTACCAGTCAAATATTTGGAATGTTTTCAACATTATTTGTAAACTTGTGGAAAAAAGGAGCTGCTCGTTTTTGTACATGAAAACTAGAAAAGTTTAAACCATCCTAAGATCTGGGCAGTAGAAGCAAAGCTGTCGAACTTGACTGAAAGGGTTTGCTCACTGAAAGTATTCTTTTGCAATAGCTGCCATCCTGTATTACCAAAATGCTGTGAGGGCTGGGGACATCTTTAAAGTTAAGAAATAACTTGTTTAAAAAGTGTGAGCTGTGGTGTGATAATGATATGCAATGTGAAGTAGTTTAAGTTCTATCAGGAAGTACCTTTCTGTAACTGTGTAGAGTGACTAAATTCTTGGTTTTTGAAGGAAACTACTTACAACATGGGCTTTGGAAGTGGCTCTTCTGATGAAGAAGTCAGAAACATATACTCCGTTATTTTCTCTCCCATCTTTTCATAAGTTTTGCAAAGGACTTTTAGCAAACAGTAAGATACTGCATATTTTTACTTAACTGTCTTTTACATTTCAAAACTAAGTACATAAATAGCCTTGTTCCACTGATAGTAGCAACTGTGCTTGTTTCATTTACTTTAAGGATGCTTCAAGATTGTGTTGTGCAAGAACTTAATGCTGTTCTATGATTTTTTTTTTAAAGTGGATCCCTGCCTGTTACTTAAACAATTAATTTTCTTAAAATAAATTACAGTCTTAAGAGATTTGACACATCACTGATGTTTTTGGTAGATGAATTTCCCAGTCACAAATAATTATTTATCAAAAGCACTGGAACAGTTCTGTGATGTATTCACTTCCAAAATCTGTAAATAATATGGCTATGAATGCAGAGTAGTGCAGAAGTTACCTAATTCCAGCAAGAGTGACTTTTTTCTCCTTTCAACTCCTTAATTCAGCACTTCTGGAAGATGTGAACATTTGTCTTCAAGCATGTAGTAGCCTCCATGCCTTGTCTTCCTCCCTTCCAGATGACCTTTTACAGAGGTACTTGCACAGAGTTCTGTATGTTACTTGAATTATACTGAAAATGGAGATATTAACACCTCTTTCTGTTTTGGTGTTTCAGGTGTGTTGATGTGTGTCGTGTTCAACTAGTCCATAGTGGTGCTCGTGTGAGACAAGCTTTTGGAAAACTTCTGAAGTCAATTCCTTTAGATGTTGTGTTGAGGTAAGTTGCTCAGACCAACTTTAAGTGTAAATTGTGGTTTAGTTTCTTCAGACACACTTAACCTGAAAAAATAATGCTGGTGGACTGTCATCATACTGTCTTAGTTCAAAATCAAAAAGCATGAGCTTACAGTGGTAGTTCTGGGCTGATGGTTGGGCTTGATGATCTTAAAGGTCTCATCCAACCCTCTGTGATTCTAGATCTCTTGCTAGCCTATGCTTTTACAGGTCTGAGAACAGTATATAGTACACAAAGTAATCAATAAAATTCATAAGTTGTGCATCACTTCTTGAAGCAAACACTGAATACCTGTAAGCTCCATGTTATCCAGAGCTTCAGTAATTTTATGTCCTATAATTTGTCTTGCAGACGTGAGGTCTGAAAGCAGTTGGTATTAATACCCAAGCACATAATGGGTGCTAGTCATTACCTGTATATATAGTGTGTGTGTGTGTGTAATTCTCTTACACAGCTTTTTTGGTTTATTCAAGTACATTATAGCCTGGGTTATTTTCCCTCTCTTCCTGTAGTAACCGTACCCACACAGAAATACAAGAAATATCTTTGGCTATAAGAAGTCACATGAGCAAAGCTCCAAGTAACACATTCCACCCACAGGATTTCTCTGATGTCATTAGTTTTATTTTGTATGGAAACCTCCACCGAACTGGGTAAGAGCTTATAGAACTGAAATCTATGAATGTTGAATTTTTGTAAACAAGCCCATGTTATATTTTGTTTAAAATTTGTAATTATCATTACAAACTACATTGCTTTACTTGCAAACATTTTTATACTTTTAAGTATTTATAAATGTCTTACACAACTTTTGGCATATTTTCCTATATACATTGCTGCTTGTAAGTTAATTTTGTGAGAGATTTGTTTGTGAACAATAAGGAGATGAAGTGGGTGCAGTATAAACTTATTACCACGTGAACTTGTTCATGCGCTGATGTTTTCTTTCAGGAAGGATAATTGGTTAGAAAGGTTATTCTATAGCTGTCAAAGACTGGATAAGAGAGATCAGCCAACCATCCCTCGGAACCTGTTGAAGACTGATGCTGTGCTGTGGCAATGGGCTGTCTGGGAAGCAGCTCAGTTCACTGTTCTTTCAAAGCTACGAACTCCTCTGGGGAGAGCCCAAGATACATTTCAAACAATTGAAGGTGAGGTAAAAAATACACTTTATCTTAATGTGATGTTTTGGTAAGGTTGTGAAGCCAAGGTGTTCATGTCTAAGGCAAGAGGCACAATGGCTTTATTTTTCAGTGCTTACAGATTTTAAAGATGCTGCATAATTATTGTTAAGTTGTGATAGATTTTGGGAGGTAGCATTGCTATCTCTTTGCACGTTTAAATACAATACCATCTGGTAACTCTTTTTTCCCTGTGTTTTGGGAAAATGTGTAGGTATTATTAGGAGCCTTGCAGCCCACACGTTAAACCCTGATCAAGATGTCAGCCAGTGGACTACTGCAGACAATGATGAAGGACACAGTAGCAACCAGCTCAGGCTTGTTCTCCTTCTGCAGTATTTGGAGAACTTGGAAAAATTGATGTACAATGCATATGAAGGATGTGCCAATGCCCTTACCTCTCCACCCAAGGTTTGTCTCTCTTGCAGTGCTGATGTGGCTTGGAACAGTCTATTGAATGAACAGAGTTTTCAGGATTGTTCAGTTCTTAGCCATGTAATTTCAGAAAAACTTCACAAACAAAGTTAGAGACTCTTAAAAAACTCTGGCTTTGACTTTGGTGTATTCCTACAGAACATGTTAAACCAGGCTTTGTTTCTGGAGTATCAGCTTGTATAGGGGTACAAATCCAGCAAGCCTGTAGTACCTCTGGTTTGTAGCAGTCCCTTATTTGTATATTGTCAGCAGCCCTATTATAAAGTAACAGTTATTTAAAGCTTTAATTGCTTTTTGGGAAATGTAGTAATTATTTATAAGCAACATACCCTGGTGTGTAATTCTAAGTGCAAAACATTTTTTCACTGTTGAAATAAGCTATTTAATTACCAGACTTTGATGTGACAGTAATACATAGTTTATAGTTCATATTAAGACTTCTGATGTGCTGGGCCAGTTGCATGCTGCATGTGATTTCAGTCCATTTACATTAATAAAACTAAAGATTAATTGAAAACTGGAGAAAAGAAACCTTTCTGCCTTTTATATCAATCTTAAGTACTTAAGTATTTTGGTTTGTGCAGAAGAATGTTGTTGTGAAACTTCTTTCCTGTCTCTGAAGGTTATCAGGACGTTCTTTTATACCAATCGCCAGACATGCCAGGATTGGCTGACACGGATCAGACTTTCCATCATGAGAGTTGGATTGCTGGCTGGCCAGCCTGCTGTGACAGTCAGGCATGGATTTGATTTACTCACAGAAATGAAAACTAATAATAGTATCTCTCAGGTACTCCCTTTTCTGTAGACTATTGCAGAAATATTCACCATGATATTCTAAAAGAACTAAGCTAAGGCAATCAGTAGTTACTAAACCAAGTGCTATGTAAATGACTGAGTTATTTAAAGCCACACTTTTAATTTGTATCTTTTTATTGTGGTTATGATACTGTGGATTGGAGGTTAGGATGTACTGAAGATTTGGTCAAATACTACACAGGAATGAATGCTATAGTTCATTCACAGTTTCAGTTGAGCAATTTCTAATTTAGTGGAAATCTTGTGAAGCTGGTGCTGCATTAGTGTGAGGCCATCCCAGGCTTACAGTACTGTGAGCTCTTTGCTTACGTGGAGAAGTAGGGTTGTGTCATGGGGGTATCCTTCCTCTAGCTACCAGCTAAGTTCAGGGATGGCGTGGGTGGATAAAGTAGTTAAAGCCTTCTTGAAAAGGTTGGATAGTTTCTTCAGTACATGACTTGATCTGCTTAAATATTTTACCAGGGGTGGTTAGATAGATATTTGTTACTTTGTGCTGCCTTATTAATTCTCCCAGAGGTACAAAACCACGCACAGTGATTGCTAACTGTTGATGTTCAGGCTGTGGCTTCAGAGCACAAACTCCTTGACTCCCCTGCTTTTCCAAAAGCAGTGCAGTGGATGGATACAAGGAGCACTTGTGGATGTATCTAATGAAACACTGTTTCACCATTTCTGAGATATGTGGCTCTTGCATTAGTTGGGTTTTGTTAAATAATGTTTTTGGTTTGGATTTAGGGAAATGAATTGGAAGTGACAATTATGATGCTGGTAGAAGCATTATGTGAGCTTCACTGTCCTGAAGCTATTCAGGGTATTGCTGTCTGGTCTTCTGCTGTAGTTGGGAAGAGTCTCTCCTGGATCAATTCCGTAGCTCAGCAAGCAGAAGGGCGGTAAGTTTTCACAAATAACTGGATGCTACAAACTTGGATGTTCTTTCCTTCTATGGGAAGTTCTGTTTCTTACTCTTCTAAATGGTGGCACGAGTCAGGGCTGCTGATGAATTTCCTTGTCAGTTATAGTCAGTGAAGCTTTTCAGAGATGTAATATGTATTTAATCAGTATTCAGCTCTACTTGTTCAGATTAAAATTGTGACAGTCAAATATAAAATTTATTTCTGTCTCTACTTGATTTGAAGTTGACATTAAAACTTTTATGGACAAGATTTTATCAAATGCTATAACCTGGAAATTCAGCCAGTAAACTTGTATCCTATCTTAATCCCTTTCTTTTGCTCAAGGTGATACAAGCTTTTAGAGTATTGGGGTAAAATAATGCTCGAAATCTAGTCTATTTACAAAAAAACCCCAACCTGGTTCTTTAAGATGCTGACTGAATTACTGAACTGTTGTAGGTTTGAAAAAGCAACTGCGGAATATCAGGAGCATCTCTGCTCCATGACTGGAGTGGATTGCTGTATCACAGGCTTTGACAAGACTGTTCTGAAGTTGGCCAATTCAAACAGTGTGAACAATGCCAGCCCAAAGCATTCCTTGAATGGTCAGTGTTTTCTTTTTAAGAGACATACAACTGTGTAAATGTGTGTGCATAAAATGAGAACATTGAATGATGCAGCCATGGTAATGTCTGACTCTGAAATCTGAAAACCTGTTTCTGTCTGCAGTTAAACTGAACCACTTAATGCCCTTGAAACCAATATTATGTGTAGATAGGAGGGTTTGCAGTACTGAGGTCTAGCTGAATGAAACTAAAGGTAATAGGTAAAATACTCTGTAAGTTCCTAGTTTAAATCTAGTTTATTTTAGATCATCATAACTTAAACCTTAGGGTTTATGACATAATTGTATCATAAGTGCACTAGTTACTCAGAGGTTTTTAACTACTAAGGCTTGACTGCAGCATTCTGTTTCATCTTTGAAAATGAACCTCCTTTGTTGCTAATTTAGTTGTTCTGTTTTTCTGTTTTGATGCTTCTTTAGATATGAACTAAATTTTTTCAAAACCTCATTTGAAAGGGTTATTTTTTTTCTCAGAACAAGTGTCAGTGGAAGAATACTGTAAAAGTTGTGTAACTATTTGATGATTTTTTAAAGTATGAGTTTTTTTGACAAAAGACATAGAAATAATGTTTGAGTAATAGAACTGCTGTTTGAAAATACATATTTGTGTGTTTATATAGCATTTCTTCATTTCACAGGAGAAGCTAGGAAAACAGTTCTGACTAAGCCAAGTGACTCTTCACCTGAAGTGATAAACTACCTGGGTAACAAGGCATGTGAATGTTACATTTCCATTGCTGACTGGTCAGCTGTTCAGGAGTGGCAAAACATGGTCCATGAACTGAAGAAGAGCAATAGTAATACCTCAATCAATCTGAAAGCAGATTTTAACTACATAAAGTAAGGGTATCATAAAGTAAGGGTATAATTAATTTATTCAACAGTGTCTTAGAGTTCATTGATTTACAACTGAAATATTAAAGTTTTAATGGATTTAAAAAATTGGGTGTCAGTTTCTAAGTAGAGGCATGCAGAGAAGAAAGGTGTATTCTTGGGAGGGTGAAAACCTGGCCAGGCATTTACAGATGAATGAAGAGGTAACATAATTCTAAATAGCTGCTGTAGCTTTCTGGCTGCTGAGGCTGCTTAGTATTCAAGAAAAAAAGTCTACCATTGAAGAAAAAAGATATCAAATTTATTCTGCTTTACTCAGCAGAAGATGAATCCTTTTGTACAACTTAAATAAAAATGTATTTCAGTGGTTCTTAACAATATCTTAATTTACTAATTTAATGGAAAAAGTATAGGAAAGAAATGGTCTTGGCTGCTGAATTTTTTAGTTTTGTTTCTTCTTAAAATGAAATTTAGAATTGTAGCTTGTGGATTTATTTCTTGACCTTTGATATTTTCCTGATTCATGAAGAAATACTTGTATCATTGAATAGACATTCAAATTTTAAGGATAGTTTATTTTTGACAACTTGATTGCTTTCTATTTCTGCATGATTGTGGTAAAAATAGTAAAATCCTTCTGGCTGAAATATCTTGACCTGAAAATAAAAGCATCAAAGGAAGCAGTGGAATAAAATCTTACAGGTCAGAAAAGGCTTTTTTTCAGAGAAAGGGGCTCTTATTTCTCTTTGGTACTGGATTAATTCATTTGGTGCAGAACTAGTGCTTTTTGTTGATGTGTGTGATAATTGAGATTTTTGCTTAGAATTAATCATTAGTGCTCTGTAGGATTTGGAGTTTGTCTTGAGTCTTTTTGCCATGTAATGTACTTAGCAGGTGGAGTGAAGTAAGAAATACAAAAATAAAACTATAAATGTTGAATTGCAGATCTTTGAGCAGCTTTGAGTCTGGACAACTTACTGAGTGCACTGAACAACTAGAATTACTACCAGGAGAAAATATCAACCTGCTTGCAGGGGGATCCAAAGAAAAAATAGGTATAAATGCATAAATTAAATATTACTTCAAATGCAAATGTAAATATTTCTTCATGTGTCTGTCTCTATAAGTGACAGACTGAAACTTTTGCATGTACTGGGCTGTGTTCAGTGGAATGGCCATAACCTTTATGAATCAAGCTTCAAAATGATTGGCAGTGGTCATCAAAAATGTTGATGCAAGTGTGTTTTCTGGAATTAATGTGTCTGTTTATAAGTAATCTGTGATTAATTTCTATTCTGAATGCGTACACATATAAACTATATGTATTTTTAAAAGAGGTATTTTTTTCCCTAACTTCCTTACTGTCAAAAATACATTCTCAGATGGTGAAACATGATAGAATTTGGCAGTTCTAGTTGATTTCAATTGTTTAATCTCCATGTAGACATGAAGAAGCTCCTTCCTAATATGCTGAGTCCTGATCCAAGAGAACTTCAAAAAGCAGTTGAAGTACAGCTTTTGAGAAGTTCAGTATGTCTGGCAACAGCTGCAAACCACATAGATCAGGAGCAAAAGTGGCAGTCAATATCTGAGTAAGTTGAAATGTGCTATGAATTAATGTAATACACTGTGAAAACCTGTTCTAGTCTGTTAAACAACTTTGTGTAAAGCTGCAGCATTTATGACAGTTTCTAGCTGTTTTATAAGCTTACTGAGGAAAAATAAGCTGATGTTTAACTTGGAATTCATATACTTTATAAAGTACTTGGCGTTGATTAAGTACTTTTGTGTGTCAGCTTAATAATATTGTAACACACCTTCTATGATACTGCAACACTTTCTCATCATCCTTTTAAAGATACTGAATTTGTTTTTTCTTCAGCAATTTTGATGTCATTGTTTACTCTTAAAGTCTAGCTAAGAAAAATGACTGTCCTGATCCTTTAATTTCAGAAATCTTATTAAGTACTTAAAGCAAACATCCCGCATCGCTATTGGGCCTTTGAGACTTTCCACACTCACCGTGTCTCAGTCTTTACCAGTGTTGAGCACTCTTCAGTTGTACTGTTCTTCTGCTTTGGAAAACACTGTATGCAACAGGCTGACATCAGAGGTAATTCTGTGTGTTTAAAGCCTAAATTGGGATCATGTCTTTTGCCATGACATTGTGGAGTATTGAATATAAAACATACATTAATTGTTTTAACTGTTAATCATACTGTAAAAAGACCTCATTGAGTTTTCTAATGTGCCTTGACCTAAGTTTTTATAAGTCTACATCTCAATTGGACTTCTCCATAGCTGTAAATATACCTCTCTTTCAATTTCACTTACAGTATTTTTGGAGTGTTATTGATAGTTGGTTTTTAGAGTGTTGGTATTTCTTCTCTGAATACGTTGTAACACACACTTAATTTACTTTCAAATCAACTTTAAAAAATTCTAATAAAATCACTTCAGCAATTAAAAACTAAATGTCAGACTTGAACCACTGTGGCTGTTCCAGATGTCATTTCTAATCACATTGTTCAGAAGACAATTCTGCTTGATTTTGAGCAGTTCTTCATGTTGTCCTCTCAAAATCAAGCATAAAACATATTTCATTTAGTTAATGATGAAGTTTGGCTACTAATATAAATAAGAATGTTTGCTCTAAAAATGATTTTTGGTTTTAATTAATGAAAATGCATTTTAGTGAAGTCTCTCATGACAACTGTGCAACTTCTTGCCTCTTCCAGGACTGTCTTATACCTCTCTTCAATGAAGCATTGAGGTCATGCAAACAGCATGATGTAAGGCCATGGATGCATGCCCTGAGGTACACAGTGTACCAGAATCAACTGATGGAAAAGCTTAAAGGTGTGCAAGCTCTTGTTATAGTGTTACAAAAAGCAAATACAGAACTTGAACTTCAGTTTTCTGCTGAAAGCAGCAGCTGTGTCTTTTTCTATTATTTAGATGGAGTACTTTTTAAAAACCATGGTTTTTCCTTCAGGTGTCTTGGTTTACTACTCATTGTCTTGATTAGTGCTGGGATCTAGACAGTGTCAAAAAGAAAAACAACATTCTGAAGTATTTAATAGTTGTATACTTCTCTCCTGATAACCCTTTACTTGCTTATCACTTCATACTTTAGCTGCTTTCACTTCTGAGCACATCAGCATTTTGAGTAATGGGTCTTCACAAACAGTCACGTAAGCCATTTAAATGTGAAGTATGTCAAGAAGTAATGGGGGAGAAAAGTTCTGTCAGGGGACAAGCAGGTTTGTTAACTAAGAAGAATGGTTATAGTGGGGAAAAATCTTTTGCCCAGCTGATAATCTATGGATATAATTTTTGTTTGAGATAGGGTACATAAATATTCTAGGCTGAAGTGAAGTCATCTAAATTTCTGAAGCAATTTTTACTGGTGGCCATGTACACAACACATGGGGCAGAAATTGTGTGTGTCAGTGATTTAATACTTCTGTTTACAGTATTTTGCTCTCCTTTAGAACCAACAGTCCCAATTAAAAGCCATCTAATGGAACTGGGCTTAACAGCAGCAAAATTTGCACGGAAGCGAGGAAACATCGCCCTGGCTACACGACTGCTCGCCCAGTGCAGCGAAGTTCAGCTGGGGAAAACCACCACTGCACAGGACTTAGTCCAGCACTTTAAAAAATTGTCTGCACCAGGTCAGATAGATGAAAAATGGGGTCCTGAACTTGATATTGAGAAAACAAAGTTGTTGTACACAGCAGGTGAGTGTTATATTGTAGTGACTTGAGCTTTTTTTTCCTTATAACCAGGCTAATTCCCCTCACCTTGAAGAAGTCACAATAGGGCAGTACAATTAGAAACTGGTTTCATCCCATTAGCTGTTGTCTGAGTGTTTTCACAAGTTTTTTCATGCATGTTATTCTACAAAAGACAATTTTCTGTGTACAAATACATTGTTCCAAGCTATATCTGAATGTGCTGAATTTCGGAGTTATTTTAAATAATAGCATTGTACTGAAGGTCTGCTTTTCATGATATGCAGGTCAATCAACACATGCCATGGAAATGCTGAGTTCTTGTGCCATATCTTTCTGTAAATCTGCCAAAGCCGAATACGCAGTTGCTAAATCTATTCTCACACTGGCTAAATGGATCCAAGCAGAATGGAAAGAGATCTCAGGACAGTTGAAACAAGTATATAGAGCTCGACAGCAGCAGAATCACACTGGCCTGTCTACCTTGTCTAAAAACATATATAATTTGATTGATCTGCCAGCTGTTAATACACTAGAAGATGAATATCCTAGGATTGAAAGTGAATCTACAGGTACATTTGTTCTCATTGTTCTTTTTTATAATTAGTTACTGCTAATTATACTGAGGGATAGCACCAGTTATACTGATAAAGACTAAGTGCTCCATCACTCATGTATTTGTTTTCCTAATACATGTGTCAAGGGTGTGTATTTTGTGCAATAGGTAACTATACACAGTGAAAAAACCCAAACACCTTAATACAAATCTTTCATATTTCTGTCACATTTTCTTCATTCAAGTAATGGTGGCTTGAGGAAGAAACTGGGATATGTTTATTTTGTATTGAGGCTATCAGTTATTATCCTATGTGAGTTTGCTTTCAGCTTGTATATTTGCTAAAGTTTGAGGTAGATCTTTCAGGTTTAAGCATGGGCAGGATTTATGTTATGAAGACCCCCATATGTGTGAAAATACTTCAGGTTTTTTCATGATCTTTAGTCTGTACTTAATCTGAGCACTTCTGCTGTTGCAGCAGAATGTGTCCTTATTCCTAATTTCTAGCAGACTTTTCTTAAGATGTTAAGATAACTTCTGTGTTTCTTTAAACCTAGATTTTTAAAATAACTTAGTTCCTCTCATACAGAGTCAGAATTTTTGTAGAGCTGTTGGTGAATGTTAAAGAGTAGGTGCTTTCTGACTTGATGGCAAAAGAAAACACATAAATAAATACAACCACAGTGCCGTGGGTACTTCACAGAAGTCTGCTCTCTGGAGCATTGTGCTCCTTTGGAGGTCATGAGTTCCTTGCCTCAGTTCCACCTCTCTGTGGAAGAGGAAGGAATTGTAGAATAACAGCAGTGGTTGTTTGGCAAATGGAAACTGGGCTTTATTTTGAAGCAGTGTCAGAAATGAAAAATAATTGCATTTGGGAAAATTTTGCACTGTTGGGTATTAATTTTACTAAAAAGATACTGTATACCCATTATTTTTTGGTGTTGTTTTCTGTGGTAAGGAAGGCAGAAGAAAGTTTTACACTGTAACACATACTACTCTATTTCTCCCATCACAGTAAACATTGGAGTTGGAGAACCAGACTTCATCTTGGGCCAGCTGTATCACTTGTCTTCAGTACAGGCACCTGAAGTAGCCAAGTCTTGGGCAGCCCTGGCTAGCTGGGCTTATAGATGGGGCCGCAAAGTAGTTGATAATGCCAGGTAAATACAGCCTGATGCTTGAATTTATACAGCACAATTGGTTTTCTTAAGATAAGCCTTATCTGTGTATTTATGATTACTGTTGTATATGGTCTGAGGTTTCATGTGAGCGGAGAAATGAATATTCTCTTGGTTACTTGCCCTTTGTAAAACAAAACTAACCTAATTCTGGGATAAAGATGATTTCTTCCTTCAAGAAGTTTTATATATAGAGTTGCAATAGCTCTACAAATACTCATGTAATGGGGATCAATAATTCATTAAATGTTACAGTCAGGGAGAAGGTGTTCGGCTGCTTCCCCGGGAGAAATCTGAGGTTCAGAACTTGCTTCCAGACAACATTGCAGAGGAGGATAAAGAGAAAATCTATGGGATTCTTGGGCAGGCAGTGTGTCGGCCAGCTGGGATTCAAGTAAGTGTAGATTTATTTGCTTAAAATAATTGTTCAGCTTCTGCATGAACCTTATTTTCCTCTTGCAGTTCATGTTAACTCTTGTAAGTGTCTTAAAGTTAAAATTCAGACAGTACAAGAAACCATCTGTTAGCTAAGTGGTCACACACCTGTTGGATGAGCTATGGTAATGTGATCAAGTAATGCAGTTGCATGAGTTGCTGGACAAAAGCTGACTTAGGAACTAAGATTGCTTGTAGAAATTGTTGGAGGACTTAAGCAAATCTGCTTTCCCTTTATTTGCATTTAGGATGAAGATATGACTCTACAAATCACTGAAAATGAGGACAATGAAGAAGATGATATGGTGGATGTGATATGGCGTCAGTTATTAACAAGTTGTCCCTGGCTTTCAGATCTTGATGAAAATGCAACAGAAGGATTAATTAAAGTCTGGAGGAAAGTTGTAGACAGAATCTTCAGTCTCTATAAACTGTCCTGCAGTGCATACTTTACTTTCCTCAAACTCAATGCTGGTCAGGTTAGTGTTCATGTTAATGTGGAAACCAAATTAGAAATTTTTCTAAATAATGATATGAACGATATACTTAACTTAGAGGAGTATTTCTTTGTTTCAAGGTTCCACTTGATGAAGAAGATCCCAGACTGCACTTAAGAAACACCTCTGAGCAAAGCACTGATGATGTGATTGTGATGGCAACCCTGAGACTGTTACGATTGCTTGTGAAACATGCTGGAGAACTTAGACAGTATCTAGAGCATGGGCTAGAAACTACACCTACTGCTCCTTGGAGAGGTAAGTATATGTTATCTAGGTGTTAAAATTGATTTTGAGGTGTTTTCCCTAAATGCAGGGAGTGGTTCATTGCACTTTGATGAAATTTTTCTTTAAGTGAGGGAAAGAGATTGTCTTGTATTAATTGATGTCACTGAAGATGTTAAAGCCTGCCATGCACTCTGATTGTAAAGTAGCTAAGTAGCACAGATTTTGATCTCCTCCTTCCCCCACTTGAAGACACAGGAAGGAGAAAGATGTGGTTTCTGAAGTATTACATCATATGACCACTCTAAAAAACAAGCAAGGTGGATTTTTTCCTAGCTGTAGTTGAGAAAAATTTGTGACTAAAGCCACATGTTTCAGAAGTGGTTGTTTGTCACTACACTGCAGGTTCTGGTTGTTCAGGGACTTTCCCTCAAAGGTTATGGAGTTAGTGTGGGAGGCAAAGAGGAGGAGGCTATCTGTTGTAAAATTGCACTTTCTTTTGGATTTTTTTGTAAATTAGTAAATTTGTACTTCTTCGTAGAAATTTGGGGTTTTTTTATTCTCCCTATGCAAAAACCCCAACATCCTTGTGTAGAACTAAAATTTTATCTCATTTGAAGAGGAATGAAGTGAATCAGCATGTTTCCTTTTCCTCTTTGTGCAGGTATTATTCCCCAGCTTTTCTCCCGCCTGAATCACCCAGAAGTGTACGTTCGTCAGAGCATTTGCAACTTACTGTGTCGAGTTGCTCAGGATTCTCCTCATCTCATCCTCTATCCTGCAATAGTGGGAACCATTTCACTTAGCAGTGAATCCCAAACTTCAGGTATGGAGAAGAGGAAAAAGTGTTCAAATAAACCTAAGCTACTATATTTTTATATACTGGATAGGATGATACTGAGGTGTTTTTTTGTTTTCTCTGTTATGTTCTTAATATTTTTATGATGGGATCTCACTGATACCCTTAATCTGATTTACCAGATTTTGCATATTTTTCTTATACTTCACCAGTACTTAATGGGGATCTGATGCTAAATAAACTGTGGAGTGATGTATCTTACTGTAGCTAATATTTTATCATCTGTTTCTAATTTAGGAAACAAGCTGCCTTCTGCCATCCCTACTTTGCTAGGTAATATTCAAGGAGAAGAGCTGTTGGGTGGTGAATGTGATGGAGGGAGTACTCCAGCTTCCCAAGAAAGTAGTAAAGATGATACAAAAGCTGGATTAAATGAAGATCAAGCAATGATGCAAGATTGCTACAGCAAAATTGTGGAGAAACTGTCTGCTGCAAATCCAACAATGGTATTGCAGGTAAATAATCCAAATGTATGTTACTTGGGTACTTGAACTGTATATGTGTAATTTTGTATGACTTGGGTGTTGGCCTACTGAAAGTTTGCTGTGTCTCTTGTCTTTTTTCAACTTGTTCATCTACTGAAACAAATCTGAATTTTAGTTCTTTTAAAAAGTGCATCTTGCTTGATTCAGGTTCAGATGCTTGTGGCTGAGCTGCGCAGAGTTACGGTTCTCTGGGATGAACTTTGGTTGGGAGTTCTCCTGCAGCAGCACATGTACGTCCTCAGACGGATTCAACAACTGGAAGATGAAGTCAAGAGGGTCCAAAACAACAACACATTACGGAAGTATGTGTTATGTGTTCAAGGGATAATCATAACAAATGTTGGTTCTTGGGGAAGTGTACAGTCAAATGAATCAACATTGGTGTTGTTCCTGAGTCCCACTATCCCAGCTGCTGATTTGTAAGCCTGGGACCTTATTTCATGAACATTTTATGCTACAGCTACTTCTCCAGTCAAATGAGAGAAACAGTCTACCTGTGAATCCATGTTGTGATTTCTTTAGTAATAACATGTTAGAACCCAATGTATATTGTATTGTGGATGATGAGATCCTATAGTTCTCAGTTTCCAAGTCAGATGAAATGAGTATAAGCATGTTGAAGGGTGTAATCTGTTGAGATCACTGTAAATGCAGATATTTGGAGCAAACAGAATGCCTTAATCTGCTTTTAGTTTTCAGTGTTGAGCAAGTCTGTCCTTTTCCCTCACTTGGGTTCTCCTGTGAACAGAGTAGTGAAAGAGCAGGTCCGTTCACTGGGCACCTGGCTAAACTTAAGAATGCCTCTTGTATTCTGTAATCAGGACTGACATGGAATGGGAGAACAGAATGATCCAAATGTCTCTTCTACTTACTTATAGTGTGGTACATCCTCAACAAGTAATAGTAAAGAGGTCCTTTATTAAAGGAAATGAGTTGCTTAAAGTGATTTCTGCTCAGAGCCTCTAATCAGGGTTTCTGATGGTGAACAATGCGTTTCAAATGTTTTTTTTTAAAAAAAAATGGTTTAGAGGAACATTTATACAGTGTGGAATGAAATACTCTTCATTTTAATATGCTCATAACTGAAGACCTCATTTTAAAGAACAAAAAATTTTTGTGACTTCTTCAATGTCTCATTTGTTGTTTAATGATATCATTATGAGAACTTGGTTTTATGGCATTAAGAGCAAGTTTTTGTGTGTTTTTTTATAACAGAGAGGAGAAAATAGCAATCATGCGTGAAAAGCACACAGCTCTGATGAAGCCCATTGTGTTTGCTTTGGAACACGTGAGGAGCATCACTGCAGCTCCTGCAGAAACTCCTCATGAGAAATGGTTTCAGGATAACTATGGAGATGCAATTGAAAATGCACTGGAGAAACTTAAGAATCCTTTGAATCCTGCGAAACCTGGAAGCAGCTGGCTCCCTTTTAAAGAGGTATTCCATGCAAGAGGAAGAGTACAGTGTAGAGACACTTGCTGTTCTTGCTGCGCCATGTGCTTGATCCTCTCCTTCTCTTGCTGTTCTTTTACCATAGCAAAATTGCACCTTGAAACTTTGTCTCCTCAGCAGCCAGCACAGGCAAACTGGGCACTAAAACACCACAATTTTTCCCTGTAGATAGTGCTATTGATTGTCTGTTGTTTCATTTCCATTGAAATTACATTTTTCAAATCTTGTATCTTCTGCTGTCTGGGATGCTGTCACCTTTGGGAGCAGGGGGCTTTATTTCTTTTAAATGCTATCTTTCTGAAACTCTGCTATTTGAGTTTGGTTGATTTAAATTTGAACAAATTCTGTTTATCTAAACATAGTCCTTGGGCAGTGCAGCAGCCTTCAAATGATCAGCCCTTTCCAGAGGTCCTTTGTCAATTGTGTAATCTTCTTAGTTTGTGGGTCTGATGAGAAAATATTCACTTGTCTATCCAGAGCCAGCTTGGTGTTTTTAAAACCTTGCTAGGCAGAACTGAGGTTTTACATGCAGATAGACTTCTTTTCCTTTTACTTCCTCTTCTGCTTTGCAGAACAAACAAGCATTCAGATACATAAACAGGCGGCTGCCAAGTGCTGCTGCTTTAACCACAGCTCAGATATTTATAAATATGGGAGCAAACCTCTTGAGGAGCATGATTTGTTGTGACTTTGGTTCTTACCCACTGCACAGGGTATATTTTCTGCATAGAAGGTTGTTTAGATTTTGTAATCTTCATCCTGAACCTGTATCTGGATTAGCAGCATGGCAAGGATGCAAGGAAGTTTAGAAAAAAATCTTTGTTTCCTGGAAGATGACCTCTGTTAAGTGCAGTTTGATGGTGTTTTTGTTCTTACTGCTAACTGTTAAGGTGAGCGTCAGCCTAAAAGAAAATTCTTTGGAATAGGTAATGCTGAGTTTGCAGCAGAGAGCACAGAAACGGGCCAGTTACCTCTTACGACTTGAAGAAATCAGTCCTTGGTTGGCTGCCATGATGAACACTGAAATAGCACTTCCTGGAGAGGTGTCCACCAGGGACACAGTCACCATCCACAGTGTGGGCAGCACCATCACCATCCTGCCGACCAAAACCAAACCTAAAAAGCTGCTTTTCCTGGGTTCAGACGGGAAGAACTATCCCTACCTGTTCAAAGGTAAGTAATAGAATTTTTCTCATACCTCTCTCATACCTCATACTGTCTCTTGTTATAAATTAGACTGTATGAAAGTTAGGAAGATTGCATGGTGCAATTCTAGTTTTATTTGCCTGAATGATACAGAGAAAAAGGAGTTTGAAGCATTTGCCATCTCTCTTCCCTACTTCCCACTTCACCAGTTATTTTTCAAGGAGTTTTGCCTTGTGAAACTTTAAGTCAAATCCCTTCTTTACAAGGCTTTCATCAGAAGCAATGCTCTGCTTGCATCTTGATAGGATTAGCTGGGTGCAATTTTCCAGAAGTTTAATGTACCCACTAAAAGAAAACTTTAGAGACTTCTTGTTTTCCCTGCAAGGGAAACGCCTATTTATGTTGTAACTATTTTGTGTACTGCTCACACAGCAAGCTGGCATAAACTGGTAGGTAAATGCCACTAAAAACTATGGTTTAGGCTAAACAGCTTATCCTTAATCTATGTATTATAAAGATATTCATTGTCTGAAATCTAGTAGGTTTAAAAAAATGCAAAATTTTGAGCTTTAGGAGAATTTTTTTCATCTAGAAGCTTAATTTTAAACAAATTTATTGCAGGTTTGGAAGACTTGCATCTAGATGAGAGAATCATGCAGTTCTTATCCATTGTGAACACCATGTTTGCCACGATCAACCGGCAAGAGACACCACGGTTCCATGCAAGGCACTACTCGGTGACACCTCTGGGGACGAGGTCAGGCCTCATCCAGTGGGTGGATGGAGCCACGCCTTTGTTTGGGCTTTACAAGCGCTGGCAACAGCGGGAAGCTGCTTTGCAGGCACAAAAGGTAACGGCTCTGTTGTGTGCTAAGTAGACAAGGCAGAAGAGAAATGCTTATTTGGACTTGCTTTTTAATTCTAAGTCACGTAGTCTTACAAGGATTGTGTTTTGCTCATAATAATGCAGGAAGGTTCTGTGTATTCATGTAACTTGGGACTTCACCAGAAGTCAATGAAATTGCTCTCTATTATTTATATGTAATTACAGTATGTAGCATAAAAATGCTAGTCTGGCATGATAATTCAAGAGAACTATTTTTTACAAATAGAATTAATCTTGGTTGAAAGTATTTTAATTCTGTATCTTGTTTACTCAGTCTCATTTCATTTTGAATGCAGTTTTTGCAGTTACATTTGAGATCTACTTTGAGAGTAGAATTAGGCCAAAACAATGTTTTCAGTTTATTTAGACCTTAACTACTGAATTTTGAAAGCGGTCTCTGAGCTGTAGAAGTCATGCCTCAGTCAAGGCATTGATTTCATGTTTTATTTTCACCAAAACTGAATTTGGGATATGTTTTTGTGCTAATACCTCAACTACCATTTTTATCTCTTCTAGGCTCAGGACTCTTACCAGACTCCTCAGAACCCTGGAATAGTTCCTAGACCCAGTGAGCTTTACTACAGTAAAATTGGACCTGCTTTGAAGGCAGTCGGGCTTAGTCTTGACGTGTCACGTCGTGACTGGCCCTTGAATGTCATGAGGGCTGTTCTGGAAGAGCTGATGGAAGCAACTCCTCCAAATCTCCTTGCTAAGGAGCTCTGGTCATCGTGTACCACACCAGATGAGTGGTGGAGAGTTACACAGGTGAGTCATACCAACTGTATTTCACATATGAGAGGCTGTGGTTTTAATGGGATGAGGGCCAACAAATGCCTGAGATTACCTGAGGTTCCTGTGAGTTTGGAGAGCTAGTGCTGCTCTGAGTTTGATGAAATGTTGGTAACTGTGCCTTCTGGAATTAAAACGTGGGTGTAGACCAGATAAGTCTACGTTATTATACTAGAATTATCAGCCTAAAAAATGAAAACTCTTTTAAGATACCATCAAACAACAAATAGAAAACTGCTTGGAATAAGTTGGGCTTGATTTGTTTTACACTTACACTTGAAATAATGTTTTAAGATGGTAGTCAATCCAATGTGTTGGCAGAGGATTCCCACAAATAATTTTTTCCTGAAACTCTCTTTTAAGTCGTATGCAAGATCCACTGCAGTTATGTCCATGGTTGGCTACATCATTGGTCTTGGAGACAGACATCTGGATAATGTTCTTATAGATATGACTACAGGAGAAGTTGTCCACATAGATTATAATGTTTGCTTTGAAAAAGGTAATTTAAAAAATGCTATATGTTATTCAAATAAAAGGTTTTCTTTCTTGGTAATTAAAAGAAACAACTTAATTTTTTATCTTAAAGGGAAAAGCCTTAGGGTCCCAGAGAAGGTTCCATTCCGGATGACGCACAACATTGAAACAGCACTGGGAGTGACAGGAGTGGAAGGGGTGTTCAGGCTTTCTTGTGAACAGGTATGGTAGGAGATTTGAAAACTGAGGGCCATCACTGGCCAAATACTGTCTTAGAACTTTTCTATTCTACATTCTGCTGCAGGTTTATAGTGCCTTCTTTCTGCTGTGATTTTAATTGGACTTTAGTTATATCCTGTAGTAGGTATTTAAGAAACATGAGATTGTCTGATAAGTGCACATGCAAATAGTGGCACAACTAAAATATAGGGTGGAAGGGTGACTTTTAGTTGTAGATTAAAATGTTATGATTTTCCTGATTTTTTTTTTTTTTTTTAGTTGGGATGTTTTGCTTGCTCTCTTTCTTTGGGACTCATCCTGTATAAACATGACAGATACGTTTTTTTTAAAAAAAAAACCTCTGAAGAAGGGAGATTTTTTCTCCTGAAGTGTCTGTGGCTTGTGCATAGTTTGTATGGAAGGCTGGATCTTGCTCCAGCTGTATTTGTACCCAGTGTGGTGGTCTTCCTCTCCCTGTAGTAGTTAGGGATACATTATGGATTTCTGCACCTACTCAAGTACAGTATTTTGCATCTAAGTTTCCACTTCTGCAAGGATGACACAGAATCAGAATGAGTCTGTTCAAAATACCATGCAGGTGCTTCATATTATGCGGCGTGGGAGAGAAACTTTGCTTACACTGCTGGAAGCTTTTGTTTATGATCCACTGGTGGACTGGACAGCTGGAGGCGAGGCAGGATTTGCTGGGGCTGTCTATGGTGGTGGTGGCCAGCAGGCTGAAAACAAACAGAGCAAAAGGGAAATGGAAAGGGATATTACACGGAGTCTCTTTTCCTCGAGGGTGGCAGAGATAAAGGTGAGTTTACTACAGTAATTTCTATTTTTAAACCAAAGCAGGCTTTGTGCTTTCATTTTATTTATTTGCATTTTGGGAATGGGGGAAGATACAGGCATATGTCAGCAATGGTTAATGAATTTTATTGTGATAAATTGAGTTTGTTTGAAGGGAAGTGTTTGTATTGAACTTGCAAGTATTTAACTCTCAGTTTCTGCATGCTTAATTCTAAAGCATGTTTTAGTGCTTTGTCTGAATCTGAGCTAGGAGAATAAAAATAGAAGTTTAGAGAGTGGTTTAAATAAAGAATGTCTGCTAAGATTTGACACTTGTAGCACTGGAAGCAGTGCTAGATGAATAGTGTTGAAGGGTTAAGTTCTGCCATATTTTGCTTTTTCTCACCCGTTTGCCGTATTGCATTTCAGTAACATCAATGTCTTGATTGCAGGTTAACTGGTTTAAGAACAGAGATGAAATGCTTGCTGTGCTGCCAAAACTGGACAGTAGTTTAGAAGAGTACCTGAACCTGCAGGAGCAGTTAACAGATGTAGAAAAGTTGCAAGGAAAACTACTGGAAGAGATAGAATTTCTGGAAGGTGCAGAAGGAGTGGATCATCCCTCCCACACACTTCAGCACAGGTACAGAGGAGCCAGGAATTCTGTCAGAAGTCTCACAGTTCAATACAGATGGTGTTTTAGCAATGTACTTATGGGTTGAATGTTAGAAATCTGTATATGAGTGAATAGCTGGGTAAAAGCTATTCTTTGCAGTAAGCAGGTCACTCCTTACTACTGAAATCTTTTCCTACTGAATAATCTTACTTATGTCCTGAGCCTACACCAGTATAACCTGTGCTAGTCCAAGTTCCACACTTGACTCTTAAGGCAAGAGAGGAAATGTTCTGAATGTGGTGTCCCATCATAATAATCAATATAAGGGAGCTATTGATAAATAGTGCAAAAATCTTCTCTTCTAAGTTTCTAGTTCTTAAAGTTATTTTTGAAGGTTATTTGAAATTAATCAAGTATTTCAGAATTGCATGAATAGGCACAGGCATTAATAAATAATACAACATTTTTAGTTTTATGTAATTGGTGAGAACATGTTCATTTCCTGGTTAACAGTTATATGTTCAGTATCGTTCTATATTCTATAGTGTTAAGTATTTTCTTTCTTGTAGCACTTACTTGATTCTGTGGCTTCAATAATGCAGGTATTCTGAGCACACACAGTTGCAGTCTCAACAAAGAGCTGTCCAGGAAGCCATCCAGGTGAAGCTGAATGAGTTTGAGCAGTGGATAACCCATTATCAAACTGCCTTCAGTAATTTAGAGGCAACACAACTTGCAAGTCTGCTCCAAGAAATTAGCACACAAATGGACCTAGGTACAAAAGAGTATTTCTGGGGGTGGTTTAATGGTTTGAAAATAACTTGAGTTTAATATCAGGAGGCATTATGAGTACCCTCTAACTTAAAGGCAATGATCTGTATGTAATGAATTAAAAGAAAGAGGCTTCTTCATAGGGTGATTTAGAGCACTTCAAAGTTTCAGTGCCAAGCTGCCTGAAGGCACTTGTCCATCTTATCCTACCTGGGCATGAGATTCTCTTACCTTGTGCTCAAAATTCTCAATATCAATTATCTGTTTCTTTATCACAAGTAAAAAAAATAAAAAAAAAATTGAAAAGGTGTTCATGCTCAGTATTTCTATAGTATAAAAAGTGTCTTCAGACATGTCTTCATTTTTAACCTTCTTTCTTAAAAGGTCCTCCAAGTTATGTCCCAGCAACAGCATTTCTGCAGAACGCAGGCCAGGCACATCTAATCAGTCAGTGTGAACAGCTGGAAGGAGAGGTTGGTGCTCTTCTGCAGCAGAGAAGATCTGTGTTACGGGGTTGTCTGGAACAATTGCACAACTATGCAACAGTAGCTCTGCAGTATCCAAAAGCTGTGTTTCAGAAGCACCGAATAGAGCAGTGGAAAACCTGGATGGAAGAACTCATTTGTAACATGACAATAGAGCGTTGCCAGGATATCTTTAGGAAGTAAGTTGGCAGAGTAACAATTTGTTCAAAGAATGTAATTTTCAAGCTATTACCCTTAATTTTATCATTAAAATAAATACTTTTACAAGGACCTATCTAATTATAAAGCAAGCCAACATTAAGTAGTAATTCTAGAAATTTGGAGTAAATATGAGAAAAACTGCTTTTAAAAATACTGTTCCAGAGTTTAGTCTGTGTACTTCAACATGAAAATCAAGTATTGTTGTCCTGTAATGAACAAATGAAGAATTAACCATTGTGGCTTCAGGGTAGTGATATTTTGGGTTTTAGAAGCTTCTAGTATTTAAAAATCAATAAGGAGGGATTTTTTTTTTTTAAATCTAGTAGATTTTTCAAGCAGTTTCTGGTTCTTTTTTTCTTCTAAAGTCAGGGTGTTTCAACATTATGGCATGGCTTAAAAGATCTAGATTATATTTGAGCATTTCCTCTGAAGTCTTTCCTTTTTTTTTATATTCTATTTATTCTTTGCTTCAAGGGCAGTTGTCTTATGTCCATGCAGATAGGTGTGGACTATGGTACATTTTAGGACCTTATAAAATCATTGTTAGGGTAGTCATCAACCTCTTGTGGTATTTAGAGTTAAGGAGTAGGTGTTATAGGAGCAGTTCAAGCATGGAGTGTTTTTCCCAGCTGTGGAGCAGAATGCAGTTTCTTGGGCAGTTCAGAGGGGAGATGGAGTCGCTGTGCCTGTGCTTTACAGGTATGAAATGCAGTACGCGCCTCAGCCCCCGCCGAGCATGTGCCAGTTCATAACGGCCACAGAGATGACGCTGCAGCGCTACGCAGCCGATATCAACAGCAGGCTCATCAGGCAGGTGGAGCGGCTGAAGCAGGAGGCGGTCACCGTGCCCGTGTGCGAGGAGCAGCTCAAGGAGATCGAGCGCTGCATCAAAGTTTTCCTGCACGAGAACGGCGAGGAGGGCTCGCTGAGCTTGGCCAGCGTCATCATCTCTGCTCTCTGTGCGCTGACCAGGTGAGTTCCCTCCTGGGAAATGTCCTGTTGGAAACAACAGGAATATTCAACAGTGTAATTCTGTGAAGAGTGCAACAGCAGGCGCATTGTCAAAGTGTCTCAATTCATCTAGGCGGAACCTGATGATGGAAGGTGCAGCGTCCAGTGCTGGAGAGCAGCTGGTTGATTTGACTTCCAGAGATGGAGCCTGGTTCCTGGAGGAGCTCTGCAGCATGAGTGGGAATGTCACGTGCCTTGTGCAGCTGCTGAAGCAGTGTCATCTTGTACCCCAGGACTTAGATATTCCAAACCCCATGGAAGCATCAGAAGCTGTTCACTTAGCCAATGGAGTATATATCTCACTTCAGGTGATTCTTTTATGTTACTTTTCCCTCCATCCTTTAAGGTTTCAGCAAAGTCGTTCTTAATAGATTCTTCCTTAATGGGCTAAATGTTTGTGATCTTGCTAAGATTTTTTCCTACGTCTTGCTCCTGATTGCTGTGTTTAATTGAGCTGAGCAGGCTTTTGCTTCTGTCATTTATGTTTTTACTGGTTGAAAGAAACCATTTTGATCTATATATGACAAATTGTAAAAACTGCTGTCAAGTAACCATGAGAAGGAGGTTGGTATCAGCTTTATTGACATGCCAGCTTCCTATCTCCTTTTCATTTTTCTGTACTGCTGGCAGTCCAGAACAGCTTCCAAACTGTTCAAACTGTGTTCTTTCTGTTTTTTGCTCCTCTGAAACTCTACTTACTTTCACCTGAATCAAATAGTTTCAAATAGACTCAGAAAACCTGTTGAACAGGCCCCTGTCTCCAGTATTGGGATGGAGAAAAATGCATTTATAATTTTGTGGTTCAGAAATGTTTCCACATTAATAAAACAAACAAAAACCCCATGAAGGACAGTCTGAGTGAAATATCTGCTGAAGATTGATGTGCTTTATAAACTGTGACTGATTAAATAGATTTTTGAGGCTTTTGTCTCCATTGTATTACCATATTTGAGAAATACTTCCAAGCTGTGTAAGTGCATTTGGATTTTCATTGCTTTATTTTTTCCCCTCTTTGAAGTTGTAGCATTTCCTACCTGTTTCAGAAATGTGCATGGGAGCAGTTTTTCTGCATTGCAGTGGGGATCTTTCACCCACACATTGTTGTCCTCCCTGTGAGCTCTTAGATAAGATGTACTCACTGTTTAATGGGCAGTCAAGATAACCAGTCTTTTTGGTATGTTCCATCTCCTTTTGGAGACAGAGCATGTTGGTTCCTCTGCCCCCCCCTCAGCCTCTGCTGAGGATGGCTGCCAGGTATTGCTGCTGATGTTGCGGAGATGGTTGTTGCTGTGTTGCTACAGATGTCAAGCCTTTGGCTTTGTATAGGATTTAATGTACTCCTGATTTCTTCAAAGTTTGTCAAAGAGTAGTCTTTTAATGCTTGGCTGACCACCATCATGTTACATTTCAGATAATGTCTGCTGCATGGTAGTGTAGTTCTAAAATGACAAAAGATGTTGCATGTGATACTTTTTGAGAGGGAAAATTTCTTACTTTTCATACTTACTTCCCAACAGGAATTGAACTCAAACTTCCGACAGATCATTTTCCCTGAAGCACTTAGGTGCTTAATGAAAGGAGAGTATACTTTAGAAAGTATGCTCCATGAATTGGATAATCTTATAGAACAAACAACAGATGGAGTCCCTTTGCAAACGCTGGTTGAATCACTGCAAGCCTACTTGCGAAATGCTGCTATGGGTATAGAGGAGGAGACACACACTCATTATATTGATGTTGCAAGGTAAATCACCTTTTTTCAGTTTAGGTGTGAAAGAGTGAAGCCTGAAGAACATTAGTTTGTCTGAAATTATTTTTTGTTTGGTATACAGGCTTTTCTTGACCAAGAATACCTTAAGCAGAGTGCAGGGTCTAAAGTGTGCACTTGTTTCCTCTCTCTGTATTTGTGTGTTTATCCACATGCATACATAGAAATATGGAGCTGTGGCAATTTACACTTACAGCTGCTTAAAGCTGACTTGTGGTAGTCAGTTTCTTCCAAAATACATAGTTGTGGTTTTGTATTTGAAGTTAAAGGATGCTAAAAATAGGAACTAGTTCATCATTTTGTGGGAGGAACCTGTGAAAAGGAGCGCTTGTAACTGCGGCACTCCTCATCAGGAGGTTTGATGAGCTGCTTTTGCTTAATGAGTCAGTGACTTGATTAAAACAAAATGAGACAAAACAGTGAGCAAACAGAAAGACTTGTGCATCTTGTAATGTGGGACAGTACATTTCTGGATAGGTGCTTGGTACACAATAAACCAAAATCTTGAGCCAGTTGTGGTGGCTCCATCAGTGGTACAGTGAATCTGTGGAATCAGTCAGTTTAAGAAAATTCTGTTTACTGGGGACTAAGCAAAACCATGTAAAATTTTTTTCTTTTTTCCTTTTAAGAGTACTTCATGCTCAGTATGGTGAGCTGATTCAGCCAAGAAATGGTTCAGTTGATGAAACTCCAAAAATGTCAGCTGGTCAGATGCTTTTGGTAGCTTTTGATGGAATGTTTGCTCAAGTGGAAACTGCATTTGGTTTATTGATTGAAAAGGTATGGATTTGTTCTTTTTGGAGTGCTGTTTGAGTCAGAATTAGGAAACCTTTAAAAAAAACAAACTAATTAATTTCCTTTACATTGCTCAGCTAAACAAGATGGAGATACCTCTTGCTTGGCGCAAGATTGACATAATCAGGGAAGCCCGCAGCACCCAAGTTAACTTCTTTGATGATGACAATAATCGGCAAGTTCTGGAGGAAATTTTCTTTTTGAAGAGACTGCAAACAATTAAAGAATTTTTCAGGCTCTGTGGTACCTTTTCTAAGACACTGTCAGGTAAGTAAATGTTATCAAATATTTATTATGCCTTTATCCACTTCTCATCCCGTACAGAATAATGTAAAATGGTCACTTTTGCTGTAACTTACCCTTACTTCCTTACTAAGGAAGCAGAAACTAAAAATGAATTCTCATGCTTCTGCTGTGTTTGTAAGTAGGGTATTATTCTTCTGGTTGCATCAAATTTTTCATTTATAACAAAAATAATTTTCTTTCCCTTTCAAAGGAATCAGTTCACTGGAAGACCAGAATGCAGTAAATGGACCTGTTCAAATTGTCAATGTAAAAGCCCTTTACAGGAACTCTTGTTTTAGTGAAGATCAAATGGCCAAGCCAATTAAGGCTTTTACAGCAGACTTTGTGAGGCAGCTTTTAATTGGCCTTCCAAATCAAGCTTTGGGGCTGACCTTGTGCAGTTTCATCAGTGCTCTGGGTGTCGATATCATTGCTCAGGTAGAAGCTAAAGACTTTGGAGCAGAAAGCAAAGTTTCTGTGGATGACCTGTGCAAGAAGGCTGTGGAGCACAATATCCAGATTGGCAAGTTCTCACAGCTGGTGATGAACAGGGCCACAGTCCTGGCCAGTTCCTACGACACGGCCTGGAAGAAGCACGACCTGGTGCGCAGACTGGAAACCAGCATCTCCTCCTGCAAGACCAGCCTGCAGAGAGTGCAGCTGCACATTGCCATGTTCCAGGTGAGAGCCCAGCACAGGCTGGGCATTTCCAGATTGGTCTGGGAAAAATGAGCCTGAGTTAGTGTCTGAGCACAACAAATGTGGTATTTTGTTGAATAAGTTCTGAGGTATTTTAATGGACTTCATAAGGTGTTTTGTTTTAATTATTCTGTAAATATATAAGGAACAGTGTTATTGCTAGCTTTTTTTGAAGACTAGCTGCTTTACAAGAAGCAAATTTTGCAATGTATAAATTTTTTTGAATCAGTACATGTAATTTTTTTCAATAGCCATTAAGTTGTTTTTTTACAAAATAGGTCATTCACTGTCTTTCTTACCAGCAATGATGTCTTGTTCTCCCCCTTTTTCTCAAGCAGATTTTGACTTTAAGGGAGGAGATGGCTTAGAACAGAGGGTATGAGTTGCTGAATGTAATTTTCTCCCTTTCCTTCAAAGTTTTAATGCATTGACTCTCTCCTTGCTCCACTCTTTGCTTCATGAAAAATACAAATAGCTGCAGTATCAGTCCTGAAAAAGAGGCTTTTGATAAATTCCACTGTGAACTTTTACATGGGTATCCAGTTGTGTTGTACTATCAGTGATCTTTATTGTACAGTGATTTGTAGATTAAGGGACCAGGCTTTCTCCAGGTCAGTTAAGAAATCATTTCATAGACTGGTAAGTAAAATTGTCTCAGTTTTAATGTATCACAAGTGAATTGTTTCTGCATATTGATGGTTTTTCCTTTAGATCAAAAAGATTTGTATAACTCACTTTTAGTAAGTTAGTGGGCTGATTAATGGTATAAACACCTAAGCCACCAAAACATAATTTGCAACTACTTGTATAATTTAATGCTCTCCAATGATTTAGAACTTTGAACTTTGCTGGTACTGTCTGACATGCAGCCTTTTTAAGTGCCCTTAGTTATAAAGGGTCTCAGAGCACTGGAATTGCTGTTTGTGATGCAAAGTATTTTGTGCTGAGCAACATCAATAATCAAGTGTTGCTGTTACTTCCTTAAAGTGGCAGCACGAAGATCTCCTCATCAGTCGCCCCCAGGCTATTTCTGTCACTCCTCCACCTCGGTCAGCAATTTTAGCCAGCATGAAAAAGAAACTTCACACACTCAGCCAGATTGAAGCTTCCATTGCAACGGTCCAGGTATGACTGTTTTGGGGAGGGTTGTTCAGCAGCACATCAGAGTGTGACCACCACAAACCCATCTGCCACCTTCAAATGATGTTATTTGGCTTGCTGTCTTACACAAATATATGGGAGTATTGTCACTGATCTCTTTCAGTCTGTCTGATGGATACTGTTACATTGTTTGATTTTGCTGTCTCATCCAAAACCTTCTATTTGGAATAGCAATAAATCTCTTTGAATAAAAATGCAAATCTGTAAAAGAACCTTTCTTTCTGAAGGCTGGTAATACTCCTTTAAGTTTGTTTGCCTTACATCGTCCTTACTATTGTTTTGCTAGCTAAATGTTAGAAGTTCCCTTTGTAGAAGTGGGAAAATTAATTCTGTGTGCTAAGGTCTGTGTACTGTGCCTTTGCTCAGTATTTTAGATTTCTTTGGTGCCAGTAACATAGAATGTTTAATTGTTTATTAAATACTGCTTAGCTTCCTGAATTTTAATTTCCTTTTTCAGTTGTGAAGGTACTGTTTATAATAATTTCTTTAATTATTTGCAAAATAATGGAGGGACTCCTATGATGTTACATAATTCTTAGACTAGAAATATGATTACTTTTGCGCTTTTTTTGACAAGTTAAAATCTAGACAGGTTGACTTTAGCAATCAAATCCAGTTGTGATGTGTACTGGAAATAAACTTTTAAACAGCATAAACTAACGTTTGTCAATCATAAATGCTACAGTATTTTACATATATGGGCGTAAAAAAGTGTCTGCATGCGTTATATAGGCATAATCTATGTAAAGTTAGGCTTAGAATGCTGTGTATCAGTATGAATTATCTATATGGTTTTTTTTTTCTTCCCCAATGCAGGAGAAACTAGCAGCACTTGAAGCAAGTATTGAGCAGCGTTTAAAATGGGCAGGAGGTGCTAATCCTGCACTGGCCCCAGTCTTGCAAGATTTTGATGCCACTATTGCTGAAAGAAGAAATCTTGTACTGAAAGAAAGTCAAAGAGCAAGTCAGGTACTACAGATAAGTACAGTACTCTTGACTCCATGAGTGTGTTCACTCTGCATTTCCTACTCGAGGTTTATGTAGAAGATAATTTTCTGCTCTGCATCCAAAGAGCAAGTGTAGATAACCAAATACTTCTGGGAATCTCACTTGAAAGCAACAGAAATAATCTTTGTGAGAATTGCTGCAGGGTTGGATGACCCTGGGATGATACTGCTACTGTAACAGAGCAGTATCTGTGTGTTTAAAATCCTCATTTAAAAGCACATGAAAAAAACACTGTTTGTCTAATAGGCAGTTGAAATGGAATCATTTTTCTCACTATTGCTTTGATTTTTCAGGTCACTTTCCTTTGCAGTAATATCATTCATTTTGAAAGTTTACGAACGAGAACAGCAGAAGCCCTAAATCTTGATGCTGCATTGTTTGAACTCCTCAAACGCTGTCAACAAATGTGTTCCTTTGCATCCCAGTTCAACAGCTCAGTGTCTGACCTGGAGCTTCGCCTGCTGCAGAGAGTGGTAAGCACAGGGCAAAGCAAAACACGAAACGTTTCAGAATCACTGCAGGGAGTTGCCAGTTTTGTCTTCCATTCTCAGTGTTATGTGTACCTTCAGATGGAGTGTGGCTGCAGAGTTTATGCTGTCAGTTAAACATTTGGCAGTGCTGTCTGCACAGCAAGTGAATTTGAACTCTGGCTGCAGATAAAGAAATGTTTCTGTTATTTTTAGGGCACTGGTCTCGAACATCCTATTGGCAGCTCTGAATGGCTTCACTCAGCTCACAAGCAGTTGACCCAGGAGATATCTACACAGAGAACAGTACAAACAGAAAGAGAACAGCAAATAGAAACAGTTTGTGAAACAATTCAGAATCTGGTGGATAGTATTAAAACTGTGCTCACAGGTCATAACAGACAGCTTGGAGATGTCAAACATTTACTGAAAGCTATGGCAAAGGTATGCCTGAAATATCCTTAAATTTATTCCTCAAACCCATGTCAGTATAGCTTAAGAAAAATAACAGTTGTAGCTTTGTGCTTTGTAAAGTATGTAGAAGCAGTAAAATGTTTGTGCATATGGAGATCAAGACATAAAGTTCATGTTTAAGAATTCATAAAACTTTCTACCATTAGCCTTAGCAGGCTTTGGTTGAACTGAACTTTTTCTCTATCTTGGCAGCTAAAACATTGAGTTTATAAATCCTTTTGGTTCTTAATCTGTAATTTTTTTTTAATTTTAAAATTTATTTCTTCATACATAATTACTGAAAATTATAATTATTTGCAATCAAATGACAAACTGAAGGGCTAAGAAATGCTCCACTTTATTCTTGTAGCCAAAATACAGCAGTTGACCTTTTTGCACATCTTGGTTACAGGATGAAGAAGCAGCTTTGGCAGATGGTGAAGATGTTCCCTATGAGAACAGTGTTAGGCAGTTCCTGGGTGAATATAAATCGTGGCAAGATAATATTCAGACAGTTCTGTTTACATTAGTTCAGGTTATGGGTCAAGTCCGCAGTCAGGAACATGCTGAAATGCTGCAGGAAATAACTCCCACCTTGAAAGAACTTAAAACACAGAGCCAAAGGTAAGAGAGCTATTCCTGTCTCGGGTGAGAAAAAGCATTTTGCATATCTATTTTTGTGTAGCAGGAACACATGGGGCACATACTTGATGATTTTCTTAGAAATCTTCTTGCAAAATTTGAATTAATCTAATTTTTGGGTTTTCAATAAGTCAAGTAGTTGCATGAGTATTTATCAACTCCATTATGTTTCCCAGTGTCTACAATAATCTGGTGGGGTTTGCATCACCCTTAGTCACGGATACAGCAAATGAATGCTCCAGCCCAACTTCAGCTGCTACATATCAGCCAACCTTTGCTGCAGGTAACACTTGCAAAAGTACAGACATGAAACCATGAAACAGGAATTGATATTAGAGGGGGGATCATAGCTCTTACTGAACTTCAAAATGTAGACAGTTTGCATAATATAAATAAATTCTTAGCAGTGGAATAAAACTTCCTGTTTATGAAGTGAAATTAGAAAATGGAAAGATTAAAAACTGGTGCAGAATTTAAAATACATTTGTTCTGAAAAACGGATAGGTCTATTTGAGATGCATTTAATTGTGGATATTTCTTGCCTCTATAATATGCTATTATTTTGAAGACTTTAAGCACTTTTAAACTTTCTTTACAGCTGTACGGAGCAATACAGGGCAGAAAACTCAGCCAGAGGTGATGTCACAGAACGCAAGAAAGCTGATTCAGAAAAATCTTGCAACATCAGCAGATACTCCTCCAAACACAGTCCCAGGAACTGGCAAAAGTGTTGCTTGTAGTCCCAAAAAGACAGCCAGGGACCCTAAAACAGGAAAAGGTAAATACAAACCTTAAAAACCCCAACAACCCTACCACTGACAGCAGCAACAACAAAAAAATACCTCAGTGGGTTTCTGTGCAGAAATGTCAAGTTGCATTAACTTTATTTTGTACCTGTAGCTGTGCAGGAGAGGAATTCCTACGCAGTTAGCGTGTGGAAGCGGGTCAAAGCCAGGGCTGAAATCCTGTTGTTGAGGCTGAAATCCTGGGGGTTCCTTTGGGGGTGGGAGCTATTGCAGTGCAAATCAAGGTTGTGACTGCCTTGTATTGCTGCATGTTTATTTATTTTTTTGGTTTTTTGCTGTCATAAGCTTTTGTTTTTCATACAGGAGGTTTATGTAAAACCATGAACGAGATAAAACTGCCTTTTGTCTGTCAGTAAGCTAACATTCATTCCACAGCTGCTGATAGCCAGGGAGAACACGAGGTCTGTACAGCTGCCCAAGGGACAGAACTTGTCTGTGTTCACTAACATAACACAGCCACTCCTGTCTCTGGGCAACGGAGTCGGGGACACAGTTGTCCACGTCTATTTGAGAACAGTGTGGATACTTTCAAGACAGGGGCTGTGAAGGAGATGATATGTGATCTCTTTTTGCAGTACAGCTTCCTGTTTCTTCTGTGGACTGCACGAAGTTATGCCTACAGTTACTTTAGATTTTTCTCAGTGAAATATTTGCAGGTGGCATTCAACAGTAAATTCTAAGATCACTTAAATACTTTCAAAATTCTAGCTTACTTTTAATTCCTTGTTTGACCTTTTTAATAGGTTGACTTTGTGATTAAGGAAGCAACTAATCTAGATAACTTGGCTCAGCTGTATGAAGGTTGGACTGCCTGGGTATGAGTAGGGAGACAGCAGCTCGGTCTGGTTCAGCGAGGTCAGACATCCACCAGAATCAACTCGGCCTCAGGCATCCGTAGCCGCACCACAGTCGGTGGTGATGCATACTGGGGCTTAATCTGAGGAAACCTAGGAAATCTCGGTGCACTGGGAAGTGAATCCTGCAGGATAGCTGCACTCAGGGATACGCTAAACACAATGGTCTGCAACCCCCACGGTCAAGGGTGAAAGCTCACCGCTTGAGCAACACGGTTTGTCTTTCTGCTACGGAAGAACTGCAAACGTGTCTGGGGGTCAGCTGCAGAAAGAAATCAGGATGCTACAAACCGCAGAGTGATTTGGAACTCAATTCCACCTGACCCTGTGAACAATTCAGGAAACACCGAACCCTGTTCAAAGAAAAACAGAAAAATGGGGCCATGAAGAAATCACAGCAAGGGCAGATTTGATGCATTCAGATTCTTGTTCCTCTTGTTACGTGGCAGCAGTGCTGGTTGAGTTGACCAGTTAGTACGGGAAAAGGCTACAAAATGTAAACTTCAGAAATGGACTGAAAGCAAAGAGCTGTACATCAGATACACGCTGCATTGGAAGAACTTCTGAGATAGAAGAAAAAGCCTTTGTTCTCTTCTCCCTTTCCTCTTTCCTTTCTCTCCTTCCTCCCAGCCTCTCCTTGCATACACCCCTCTTGGCTTATTCTTGTAGGTTAGGCGTACTTCCAATATACTTTTTATTTCAAGCCTTCTACTTCACAGTTCAGTCAAATTAACAGCTTAAATTCTGTTTGGTAAGCAATTTTTCCAAAAGCACTGAAAATATAGAACATCAATGATTACTTATGAGTTGGATGGTCAGATGCAAAATGTAATTTTGGTTATTTTAAAGTCATTTTTGTGATTCTATTATGTACAGTTTCTCAAAATTGTCACTGTGCATTTAAAAGTAATGATTCCTACAGGCATTTGATTTAATGTGCACTTCCCTCTGCTTGCAGTGTACACTTTTTTGTAATTCAAATTGTCCCTCCAATCTCATTCTACTGTGATTGCTGTAGTTTCTTTCGTACAACGTAGCTAATCCAATGTAATCTTTACCTTTTTAAAAACCAGGCTAGAGTATCTAGTAGAGTTTTACATTGTTGATGACAGATAAACAATAAAGTGATGTTCTGGTGGAGGTAGAGTGATATGCTTTTTACTTCATTTTCCTAATCTTTTTAGTTCACACTTGTAAATTCTAGTGCTTCACTTCATAGGGGTAGACGTATAATCCAAGAAATGAAGGACTCTCAAATTTTTGTTCAACTAGATCTGTAAAGATTTCTGCAAAGTAGTTTTCCTTTGCCATATTTCTTCTATAGATGGTTGTTCAGTAATGCATCCATAGGGAGTCTTCTACCAAGGTTTTTTAAAATCAGTTCTCAAAGTGTGATTATGGTCAGAAAAGTCTCTCTAAAAATGGCATCATCTTCCTTAGGTCAAGGTCCTGCTTATCTGCTGGTTGTCTAAAAGACTTCTTGCTTCATTTTTTAAGTAGGACACCTTTAGGAAAAGGCAACTTCCTTTTCTTAGAGCAAACAGACTTCACAGAGTTCAGTTACAACTGCAGAATTGTAAAGGTGCCGATAGCTAAAGCAGAAATGCACCCTGGCATTCTGAACCCAGATAAATTCATTGTAGCTCTGTATACAAAGTTTCTCTTTTGTAAACTTGGTGATTTCATTATGCACAGTTGCTGAAAAATGTGGGAAGATCCTTAATGCCATTTTAGTCACTTTTCAGAGTAAAACCACACTTTCAATACTGCATTTTCTCTGTCAAAATCCAAGTATTAAAAGATTTGAGCCAAGCCCACTACTGGCATAAAATTAATTTAATTGAAAGGGTTTTTGCAGCAGTTCATCTGAGTTGGAAGCTTGGCTGGTGATTTTTGGATAATGCCGGCAAACTTCTGTTCCTTTCAGTATTTGCACTATGCTGACTGCTCTGCCTCCGCAGTAGGTCTTAGAATTCACTTTCTCCTCTGTTGCCAATTTTTTGTGGACATGCACTTTGAAGTGTAAGAGTTTTCAACAGTCGTATGGCCTTCCTTGCACTCTGATTGCCTGATTACCTCTAGGGAAGTCACAGGCTTTGCATCTAACAGTGCCCGTGCAGACGCATTCCACTGCCGCTGCTTCCTGACCCTCTGCCGCGCACGTCGCAGGAAAAGCTGTCGGAATGTTGCAGTGAAGAACATTCATACGCAGAACAAGACACTTGACACTGTTGGTCCTTTTCATTTTTCTCCAGTTAAAAATAACCTTACGAACAATCTGTTGGAGAAGTGTAGTGACAGGAGTGTGTTGTACCTGCTGTTTTGTTTCTTGGAAGCTGGGGGGAAGGGAGGGGGTAATGCACTCACCTGTGGCTCATGTATTATACCTCTGCCATCCAGAAATGAAACACTTGTGTGGAGATGGGTTCTTACTGCATAATTTAATAAAGTTTTAAAAAATAAAAAATATGTGGTTTTAATTTCCTTCTTTGCAAATATTGTGTGATTGTGCATATTACAGGGAAGAATAAAGTGCTTGATACAAACACATACAAACCAAACCCCAGATTAGAGCAAGATCCTCCAGAGATTTAAATTTGCATAACTAATGCAAAGGAGACAGCTCAGATGTGCAGGAGCTGGTGGGAGTGTCACTGTCGACTTGTGTGCTGGCGCATTTTTCTTGGAAATGTTGACAGTATGGGAAGCTGGTACAGTCTAGATGAAACCTAAAATTCAGATTCTGCTCACACATCCTGCATAGTAAATAAGACTGTGTTAGTTACATTCTCTTAAAAGATGCTTCTTACAAAGACATAAGGGTACTTCCTTTATTTTCAGTAAAACTGGTGTTTATTTTCTCTGCAGTGAAGCACACCTAGAATAATGCAAGTCTAGAATCACCTCTCTAAATACACACAAACCAGCTGAAGCTATAGAAGTCAAACAGTTTGACTGATGGCAGTTTTTTGCCTGCTGCTTACCTGCAGTAAATGTTTACCAAGGGACCATGCTATAAAGTAATTTCTCAAAGCTGAATTCCACATTTGTTCAGCATTTTTGTTACCCCCTCACAATTCTATAGGCTCATGTTTGAGATGCCCGTTGAAAATGAGCTGCTTGTTTGCCTCTCTTCCTTCTCCCCTTTTGTAAAGCCAGGATGTGAACATGGCTTTGCAAAATGAGTTGCTGGGATGTGTTGCACTGGAATCATTATTGGTGTCCTAGATTATGTTGGTAGGATAATGGCACTGTCAATACAACAAATTGAAAATGCAGCAGATCTATACAGTAAACAGAAATTAATTTTGTACTTTGTAGGGACTTCATGATCTGGTTTTTGTTTTGCAACAATTAGTTTTGCCCTCAAGGATTATTCTATTTAAATAGTAACATTTTGTCTGATTTTTTAAATGTCTGTAAAAGACTTAAGTCCCCCAAGTTGAAGCTCTGTTTTTCTAAGTGCTGTAGTCTTTAAGGTTAATTTACTTCAATTATTCATCAATATGTTCTGTGCCTGGTACATTAGCCATTCTGTTTTAGTACGCTCAAGTACTTCAAAGGCTTCTTTGCTTTCTTTTTCCTTTTTTTTTTTTTCCCTAGTTTTTCCTAAAATTAGCAGACACACTTTATACATTAATGAATTTGACTAGGAAAAAAGTTTGAGATGGCACTTGCCATCTGTGTGTTTGTTAATGTGGTCCCAAATTATAAAATGCATTTATTTCTTTAGTGAAGTTGTGAGTACACTGTTAACATTTTTAGCTAAAGAATTTCACAGAAATTACAGACATTAACTACAGCTAATGCTGTGTACATAAATGCATAGCTGATCAGAGCAATTCTGCCATTCATCAGGCTAATTTTTTATTAATAAATATAATAAACATTTATTGGTATGCTGAAAGGGTGAAGGCTTGACATGTAAACTTTGTGTGCCTAAGTGCACAGAGCAATTGCACTGCCCCTTTTAATGGTGTTTTGAAGCCAGTTTGGGGATTTAATTTTCTGTGCATCTGCTAAGAGAGAATCTTGGTGCAGGAAGGATTGATCCCATTGCAGCATGGCCATGCATTGCAATGCAAAACATTTGGGTGTAGCTCAGGTAAGGTACAGGAGGTACTGAGCTGCTGCTGATCCCCTGCCTCCTGCACTATGGCTGAGATTTGAACAATGGAATTTATAAATACATGTGTATGTAGGCACGCATTTTTTAATTTGGTGTGATGCCTCACAAGGCCTGGCTGCTTAGTGAGGGTGGGCTGGGCAGGTGGCAGGGCTCTGCCCTGTTCCATGTTCCGCAGTGCAGTGGCCTCTCTCCTCTCTGGCATTTCTGGGTTTGAGGGCACCCAGCAGCAGTCACCTGTCCCTCTGCCCCTCTGAGTTATGGAGCACCACTTGCCAGGAGGGAGAGGCACCTCTGCAGGCCCTCTGGGATGGAGAAAAGCTGCAAGGGCACCTGGCTGGGGAGCTGGCGTTTGAAAGACTGGCTGGAAGATGGTGAACGTGATGGGCTGGAGATGATGGCAAAGCCTGCTATTTCCATTGGTAAGTGCTCGGGGGTTTTGTGGTGCGAATCACGTAAACAGATGAAACCAGGAGCTGGCTGATGGTGTCTCGTAGCCAGAGATCACACTGATGCTGAGGGGTTGGAATGGACCATAAACACCATCTAGTCCCAAGCCCCCTACCATGGGCAGGGATATCTCCCAGGACTGAATCTCCCTGGGCAAAGCTGTTCTCAACACCCTCAGTAATGAATTTCCTCCTAATATCTAACCCAAATTTCCCCTCTTCCAGTTTGTACCCATTCTTTCTTGTCCTGTCACTATAGTCCCTGATGAAGACACTGGAAGATTGCTGTGAGGTCATGCTTCTGTATGGCTCCATACTCTTCTAAAAGACTAATAAAATTATTGCTGGCATCAGCACTTATAAAATCATCTTTTGTGTGAGCTTTGCTGTGGTAAAATTACAAATTTTGAGGGTGAACTCCACCATTTATAAGTGTAAAACGTTACACAAAAATACTGTTAGCTTTTAGCGGCATGTGAATGAATGTTACTCAGTATAGAATCTGTTCTTTACACACACTCTAGGGTGAGTGAACCTGTGGGCACCCTGTGAAAGACCAAACCATTCAGGACAGACATATGTTTGCTTTTAGTGTCCTCCTTAGTCCTTCTCTTTTTTTTGTCTCCATCAAGCTGGTGCTAGAGTAGTTTTGGTGCCTGAGATGTTTTCTTTGCTGTCATTATAGCCTTGCATTGCATGGTGATTACGCTCATTAACACACGTGCCTGAATCATTTAGAAAGCTGAGTCAGAAACAATATTTATATCCCAGTGCCTTTCTCCTGTATTTATTCCCATGCTGCCACAAGTTCTGAAGGCAATAAAACAGAGGGTCCCTCTCGGCTGGGAGCGGGCAGGGAGCGGCTGCAGCACAGGGGGGAGCCTCGGCTGGCCTTAGGAAACTGGTCAAAAGGAGCCGGCCGGGCTCTGCTCCCGGAAAACAAGCGACAGGACAAGGGGACACGGTCTTACTGAGCCTAGCGGGGAGTGGGTGGGTTAGACATTAGGAAGAATTTCTTCACGGACTGATTAGATACTGGAACGGCACATGGAGGTGGTAGTCACCGTCCCTGGAGGCGTTTTAAGAAAAGATACGACGTGTGTCGCCATGGCGCAGTTGACAAAGTGGTGTTCGGTCATTAGCTGCACTCAGAGGTGTTTTCCAACCCAGCTGACGCTGAGAGGTTTTTGCGGGGTTA